ACTTGACAAAATATTACAATTACCGCAGGCTACTGCCAGCTGTGTTTTACTGTGGGATTTGAATCTCATTAAAGGTGAGCGTGGTAATTTTTCCCTCATTAAAGTTTAACAAATAAATTAGGGTTACTTTTGGAAAAATATGTTTTTAAACCCATTATTCGACATATTTGAATTGCTGCATGCTGATCCTTTGTTAATGCATCTTACTACTGAATGCAAATATGTTCTTTCCCACAAACTTCTACCAGAGTTTAGGCAGGTGTGTGTGTGTGTGTGTGTCATTCTGGGATTATTGTAATGTGAATGCATTCCAGCTATCTAATTGCAGTGGAGAGCAGCTAGCTGTGTTGGTGTGCTGGGAATAAATGAGCTCAGGGTGTCTACAGACTGACAGAAGCACCATGTGAATGTGTGTTTGGGAGAGAGAGCGAGAGAGAGAGAGAGAGAGAGAGAGAGAGAGAGAGTGAAAGAAAGAGAGAGAGAGAGAGAGAGAGAGAGAGAGAGAGAGAGAGAGAGAGAGAGAGAGAGAGAGAGAGAGAGAGAGAGAGAGACTGAGGGAGGCAGAGAGAAACAAAGAGAGACAGGGCGAGGGAGAGCCCATATATCTTAGCATCCCTGTCTTCTCTGTGATAACGAGGTGAAAGTGTGTGTAAAAGATTGATGCTGGATCTGTGTGAGCACAGCAGAAAGAAAGGCAAGAATAGATAGCAAATCCTGTGAAACGTAGCCTCAGATACTGGGCTAAAACTGCTTCTGTTTACAAATGGTCAATCAATGTTATTTTTGGTGAGTGTCTGAAAAGCTTATCTATTATAGCTCGTATATGATTGAATGATAAATAACATTTTCATATCATTGCATAAATAAATACAAATGTGTTTATTTTACACAATATTTACTAAAATATATTTTAAACCATTTGATAGTTAATCAATATAAATAAATAAATAATCAATATAAATGTTTAATAATTTTAGAAGCACAACATTAATGCAGCTATTATATATATATATATATATATATTTACTTAAATGTAAAAATTATATTTATATATTTTAGATTTTATTTTAGTTAAAAACTGAATAAAAATAAAGATGTAAAAAGATTTAGTCTATATATGCACAACATTGCTGCAATAAAATGTATATTTATTTGACACAATACAAAAATAAAACATGAAAATATTTGAAATAATTCATAATCAATCAACATGAAAAGAAATGTATGCTAATTAATATTTTATATAATAATTACCCATATAATTTCAATCAATTAATTAAAAAAATTATAATTTTGAAAAATAAATCTGTAAGAAATGTTTTATACTTTCGATGAACAAAATTTCTGCAATCATTTTTTTTATACATAATTACAAAATTTATTTGACAATAATAAGAATGAAAAAAATTTTTGTTCAAGTTGCTCTCCAGTGACAGCTCTGGTGATATATTGGTCGTCCACTACTTTCTGGCATTACGCAAGTCATCATGTTTGATATTTACTCCCATCACTGTCACTATGATTACAGTCATTACTCATAGCTATCGTGACAATAGAAAAGGGGCTTGAGTTGTTTATCCATACACACAGTATTCGAGATGTAGGCTGTTGTGTGATCAGGTCTATTTGAGAGTCACATCTGTTAGTAAATATAATTGTCAATCCCAAACACTGAACTGAGTGAATGTAGCTTTGGTCAATGATATGTGTTTAGCTGTTGTTAGACCTCTCAACACACAGCTCACGATCACAAACAGCCTGTGCTGTGAACCGGCCCTGTGGACGTACGGATGTGGAGATGCCATGGTCGATTGTGTTACAGAGCAGAGAAAGAGGAGCAGAAAGCAGAAAACAGGCTTGTAGAAAATGGACCGCAAAATAGCTGTAGAGGTTTTTCAGGAAAAGAAAAAAGTGGCTAAACCAGGAGTCACCGAACCTTAATTTGCCTCACATTTACCGCTCTCCATCTCCCTTTTTTTTTTTACCTCTCATGACCCCATTTCTCCTATCTATACCGCTGCATAATGGAGTTCAGGGCCGATGGCATCATGGCAGGAAAACCAGCTCAAGCTTTTATATCAAGGTACCAAAGTCCTGACATGTGTGCAGGAACTGGAGTGGACACTATATCATTAGCTATATATGTATGAAGAGCCTGCGATTCCCAGAAAAGCTCTCGGCGTTTCGAAACGGCTCTGCCAGACACTCGCCTGCTACTGATGCGGCTCTGTGTAGAGTTTTAGCAATTTAATTGAGCTACTGAGTGTGTAAGAGAGAATAATTAATTCTTTCATTAGACACAAGACATTAAAACACTGCCTGCCGCCCATAAACTGGGAAACACACATTTCTAACACACCCAAATAAAATGCATAACTTCTATAGAAATGTAATGAAATAGTTCATGCAACAATCTAAGGCTGCCCCTGACCAAAGATTGTCCTAGTCGACTGGTAGTCATTCATTGAAGCCATTAGTCTAGACTAGTAGCCCATTTATGATAATAGTAGTGTTTTCTGACCCGTTGACTCTTAATCTCCGCAGTATAGTGGATGCGGCTACGGAGAGAAATACACGCCATTTTAAACGTCATACAGTAAACGCGGGACTAATTTAGCTTCCACACAAACACTTGGATATGCGCCTAATAATAGCACATATTTATCTAGGTTAATGTTAGACTGAGAGGTGAGAGATGTAAAGTGACTAACCTTAGGCTACAAATGATAATGCATGTTTGAGGTCGATGAATGAATTGCCTGTAGAGTTTGCTTGTCACCTTTTTGGGGTCATTCTTTACCCTCTCAAAATGATCCCATTTTTTTGGATTTGGTGAATTGTTTACACTGCTCTTTTCCATACAGTGAAAGTGGGCTGAGACGGGCGCTGTCAAGCTTCAAAAATGATACAAAGCACCATGAAAGTACAATAAATCTTATCAATAAGACTTTTGTGATATTTTTTTTATAAAGCTGCAGTGGAATGAAAAAAGAAATTGCAGAAGAAAGAAAGCCATACAGGTTTTTGAATTACATGACAGAATCTTAATGTTTGGGTGAACTAAGAATAAATGTGTGCACAAAAACATAAACTTATGCAAAGACATGGTTTTGGTTTCCATATAAATGTATATGCCGACAGGGCGATGCATGGTGCTTTATTCTAGGAATCTTTGAAACAGTCTTAAATACTGTACACAAAACTCTGGGGAAATTCCACTGAAACAGAGCGCTCAAACGAATGAGAGTGGGTGTGTATAAACGAGAGCGAAAAAGGCTGAGAGAGAGGGTGAGAGAGAGAGAGAGACACTGAGTGAGTATGTGGGTGGCTGTAGGTTTGAATAGTCTAATGATTTTGGAGAAATGAACAGTGTTGTTCCCTTTTTAAATGTTAAATTGCATCCAACATGCAGAAACTTGATGAAACCCAGTGAAACTAGAGCTAGGGATTTCTAATTTATCTACTAAAGAACATCTCAAACAGGAATAGTCCATATAAAATTATTACTCACCCTCATCATTAGAAACATGCTTCGGGAGACTTTCTTTTTCCTAAAAGTAAGTTTAGCAGATGATGCTCCTTTCCATACAATGTTATACAGACAGACAGAAATATAGATAGATAGATAGAGTTGAGAGTGAGAGAAAGAGAGAGAGAAACACAACATTTCATTCCTTTCCAAATCTGAATTACTAGAAACCATTCTAAATAAATGCTAAATACTGCATTGGTAGTCTTAAATTCACCACTGACCTGTAAGACTGACCTTTAACTTTTGAACTCCATTGAGCAGATTGAGGGAAGGGTCAACACAGCTCAGCAAGATTCCACTTTCACTGCCTCAGGCCTTCAGCAGAACCTTTCACGAGTCTTGGGTTTGTTTGATGTGGTGAGATGGTGTTTGTTCACTGCCTTTGTTATAGGGTGGAAGAAGTTCAGGATTTTAGGAGCACTCTTAAATAGGATACACACCCCAAAATAGCACTGCTCGCGGGATGCAACTTACGACTGACTGCAATATAATACTGTATGATGTTAGCAAGTTGCTAAGCTAATAACATAAAGCATAAAAATAAATATCATGCTCAAATATTAAAAAACAGTCTATCTTAATTTAAATAAACTCTTTTGGAACGCATATTTAATGCTTGTCTCACCTTTGTCCACCATCATGGAAGCTTTTTTCTCCTGAGTTTCGCAATGCATTTTGGGATTGTTTTATCTGCAAAGAATTCAGTGTTAGCTGCGGTATGTTGTATTAAAAAGTAGTTGTTTTTTTGGGGGGTGGGGTTAAGTTTATTTTTATTTTTTACTGTTTCATTTAGCTTTTTCACAAAGAGGTAAAAATTCACAAGATCAATTACAATTATTTTATTTATTTGACAGCCGTATAGTTTTTAAAGGTAAGAAATCAAAATCAGCTTAACACAAATTAAATAGTCTCAATATAATATTTTAACAATTTGCATTGGTTTCAGTACAGTGACAATATAAAAGTCACTTATTTAATTTAGAAAACAACTTGTGATGTTTTTCTCACACATATCTACCTTCCAGCTAAGATAAGTTCCTCTAATTAAACAGCTTATATTTGAAATGACAGGATGCTGTGTTAAAACTTTCAAGGGTTGAAACTAAACTGTGCAGGGTGGAAGATCTCCAAGAGCAGAATTAAGTGCCCCTGCTGTAGAGGATTTAAGCTAAGATTTTAATGATATTGTCTGGTGCCAAACTTTCCCTCTTATGGCAGCCTGCTGATTTATGGTCTTCGCAGGGCTTTAAAAGGCACGTGGGAAATTACTCTTTACATTTATATTCCCATTTATGCATGTAGCAAATGCTTTTATCCAAAGCGTCTTACATTGCATTGAAGGTCTACATTTCATCAGGTCATGCCTTCCATAGGAATCGAACCAATGACCTTGGTGTTGCTAGTGCTATGCTCTACTGTCTGAGCTACTTTACCTGTTTCACCCTCTTCTTCTTCTCCTCTTTCTCAGGCTGAGTTCTCAGCGGCGGCGGTGTTGCATCAGTCCCGGCGGGATCAGGTGGCGGACACGTGTCGTGCCCACAGTGCTTCCAGCCGCAAGCGCCGCGTCCTGACCCCCAGCGACCTCAAGCACCTAGTGGTGGACGAGGAGCACGAGCTCATCTACTGCTACGTGCCCAAGGTGGCCTGCACCAACTGGAAGCGGGTCATGATGGTGCTGAGCAGTCGGGGCAAGTACAGCGACCCAATGGAGATTCCTTCCAACGAGGCCCACATCCCCTCCAACCTCAAGACCCTCAACCAGTATAGCATCCCTGACATCAACCACCGGCTCAAGAACTACCTCAAGTTCCTCTTCGTGCGCGAGCCCTTCGAGCGGTTGGTGTCGGCCTACCGCAACAAGTTCACGCTCCGCTACAACACCTCGTTCCACAAACGCTACGGGACAAAGATCGTGCGCCGGTACCGCAAGAACGCCACGGCCGAGGCGCTGCAGAGCGGTGCCGACGTCAAGTTCCAGGAGTTCGCAGAGTACCTGGTGGACCCGAGCACTCATAGAGAAGCTCCGCTCAACGAACACTGGCAGACAGTCTACTCGCTCTGCCACCCCTGCCACATCCACTACGACCTGGTGGGCAAGTACGAGACTCTGGAGGAGGACGCCAACTACGTGCTCAAGCTGGCAGGGGTGGGCGAATCATTGCGCTTCCCGTCGTACGCCAAATCCACCCGTACCACCGACCAAATGGCGGCCATGTTTTTCAACAACATCAGCTCCCAGCAGCAAAGCCAACTCTACCAACTCTACAAACTGGACTTTCTTATGTTTAACTACTCCATTCCCAGCTACCTAAAACTGCAGTAAACACAGCTGTGCACACGTTCCGAGCTCGTTCAACGAGATTGATCAATGGAAGAACGGCCATGGCTGAAAGACACAGGCGGGGGAATCAACCAAGCACCTAAATGTAAAATTGTATTTAAATCCGCTGGGATGGTTGCATTATTTCGAAACGACCAAGGAGCTGTCGGTCTACTGCAAATGCGTAAAGTGGACCACTCGAAAGTGGTCTTTTGAAACTGAAGTCCTGATGTATTTGCCTATTGAATTGTACATTATCAGTGTAAAGGCTCCTGTTCCCAAACATCAAAAGCAATATGACATATTCTGAGCTGTACCAGCTCAACTGGTTTATCTATTAATATACTCTGCCAGCCATCGCCCTTATCGAAGCTTCACAGAAAGGAGCGGCTAGACTAATAATAAGACTTGCGATACAATCAGACTTCAGTTCCCCACTTCTAATTTTGTGTTCCCTTTGGAAGTTCCCTCTCTTTTCTCCCATACTCAGACGGCCTTTGTGTGTGTGTGTGTGTATTTATACGGTGCATATTTGAAGATGCACGCTAAAATAAGAATGACAAAAAAAGAGGCATTGAATGATGCCTTTTTGAAGGGGCATGTCCATTTGTGAGTGACCGGGAGGGGCTCCGCCCACTGGGTCAGTCAGGGAGCATCTGTAGCAGTCGGGAGGTCAGAGGTCACTGCGAGTTGGCCTCAAGCACACTGTTCCCACAACCCCTCCTCCCTTGGTTGGTCTTCGGTAAATGTAAGGATTTTGGGTGTTTTGTTTTATTTTGTATTTGTTTATAATGGAAAAGGTTGCTGCGAGCAGCACGCTATAATATTATTTGAATTACTGTGTGAAATAGAGATGAGAAAGAATTTTGTTTCCAGGAAAGGAAATCAGCTTAGCGCTAGAGGTTTAATTGTTATAATTTGTTCATATTTCTTCTTGCCTCATATGCAGAACACAGTTGCTGGGATACCTCGCTGGTTGTTTTGTGACGGGTGTACGGAAACGGGCAGGACTTTGTTTTCTGGGCTGTTCTCATGGGAAAGTTTCACACAGTTGTGTGCGTTTGAGAGAGAGAGAGAATGCAGGGAAATCTGTTCCATCCATTAGATGATTTAAACGTCTTTCTCAATTTGAGAAGGTTAAAGGAACACCCTTTAATTTAGCAAGCTGTCTTTTATGACCATGATGACCATGATTTGCTTTGACGCTGCACAAAAATGATAAAAACTGCTTATTTATGTGCGCGATGGCCACAAGTGGGTGTGTCCAAGTGCATTATCTCAATGTCTTTGTACCAAATCTTGACTCTGGCTGGCGAAGGTAACGGATAAAAGGCTTCTTTCAGCTTTCTCTCTCCCCACATCTCTCTACTTTTTAGGAAAAGTCCTGGGTTTATTTGGCCTGAAAAAAATCGGACAAACCCAAGCTACGTTATCAACTTCTCTTTTCCCCTCTCAAGTCACTCTATTTCTGCTGCTGTTCCTTTCTCACGCTAAATCTTATCCTAAGCTTCCTCATCATGCAGAAAACAGTAAAAACCGTTCATGGATTTGTCAAAGTCATAATTACAAAACTCATTTCTTGTCATCTAGTAATTATGGTAACTGATTGGCTGGTTAGGACAAAAACTCAGATTGACATGCAAGAGATTCGAGTAGATAAATTTAGCGTATTATCCTTCACAAAAGACACAAAAACCCTTTGTGTAGTCGTTCTTAGAATGCCTGTTCAAATCTCATCTAACCTCTTCGCCAGAGCAGGAAATTAATCCTCAAGTCTGAACTTCTTTTTTTGAATCATCAGCTCAGAAAACAAAGTGTGCCTGAATGGTTTCGCAGTTTTTCAAACCTGTTTATTTCATTTGTTCTGTAACAACAAACACGGTACAGCCTCATTAGCGCCCACCCGACAGCCACACTAATACATGCATTAGCGCCCACATTAGCAGGCACAGTGCCTTTCAAACTGTCACTCTATCACATGTAGTACAGCACACTCTCATTGCATGCAACTTGCATTTTTAGAAATAAAAAAACAAACATGATTTGCTTGATTTATGACTATGCATCCAGCTGAGGACATTCCCAGACTGAGGTTTTATCATATTTACACACTTAGGTACAGAACAGCTTGGCTCACCATCCACACATGCTCACGTGGCTTACCTGTTTCTCTATGTGCCTGTTTGATAATCAATGTTTGGTTCAATGTTTCCATATTTGTTTTCAGTGAGCATCCGCTCACTTTCTTCTCAAACATTTTCTTAAACCATCCACAGTCTAATTTATTTATTTATTCCTCCTCGGTATTCAGGATGGACTCTGGCGGGTCACGGGTTGGACCCTCGCACTGTAAATGGGAAAAATACAAACCAAGTGAACTGTCAGATCAATGCGCTCCCTGGAGAATGCGCTCACACTGTCTCTCTATCTCTTTTTCTCTCCTGTTTTCTCAATAAAGCTGAAACTGAACCCCTTAGTGGCCAATTTGTCACTGTCTCTGTCTCCACATAATCATTAAACTCGAGTGAAAATGTTGTCACTTGTTAAAGGGATCTTTTTAACACAGCTGTTCCTCCTCATTTGGCATGGTTTCCGGGGTTTTTATGCTGGAGAACATTAAATCTTTCTTTGAACCCTGCACCACACGGCCCTTCTCACAGTTTCTTATAAGGGATTTGTTCAATTACAAAGTTCCTTAAATCCCCAAAACTTAACGAGACTTATTCAAAATAAGCAGAGGCTGAATGTAAACCCTCACCTTTGGATAAACAACATTTAAGTTTGTCTGTGAGCTTATAGTGCAGTTTAAAGCCATTTATGGCTCCTGTAGCTCAACTGGTTGAATTTGTTGCCAGTAATGCCAAGGTTCAGCTTTGTGCCTAAAAAAGTAAACATGGGAACAAATACTGTAAGAATGCACCAATGCATCGGCCAATAAAAGCATTATTCAAAGGCCGATTGCGTCACTGCACCGCGACGAAGGATGTCCCAATTCGTAGGCTCCTTCAAATGCGGCCTACAAATGCATCCTTCTTTCCCCGGGCCATGAAAGATAAAAGGACACCGGCCTATTATTTTGGTATGAACATTTCAGATAAACCCTTCGCTAAACGGCATTTAAAAACAAACTGAACTGTGGTTGGTTGCTTTACATGTTCATCAACAATAGGGCATTGAGTTCGATACTTTTTAGGCACTGACCAAATTGCCTCGGTACCATCGAGTATCAAAAAATGTCTTGTCGTTCAGTACCAAATTAAGATACCTAGGGGGTAAATCTCGTCAACGTCAGTGAGCCAATAAGCATGCAGCATGATTGGCTGTGGCGAGGCTATGAGGAAAAAAACACTAGTTTACACTGGTTACGCCCGGAGACGTGGCTCAGGTGGAAAAGACCAAAAGTGTGGCTACATTTCACCAGGCTCGATGCCAACAGCCATACAAGATAACTGCTGCCAAGACTACAAATCTGAAAAAGCACTTGAAAGTGCACGTAATAAACTTAAGAGCATTTTATCTCCCATCCAGGTACTGACCAAGCTCAACCCTGCTTAGCTTCAGTGGGCAACCATTCTTGGGTTACAGGGGGATATGGCTGCAAGTTGCATTTCTCTTTATAGGCGTGCACGATGACGAGTCAGCAATGTCAACTGTCAACACTGACTCTTATTAAAACAGATTTCATAAAATTGGTATTAAAAAAAGTATCGTTCAGGAACCGGTATCGAAGTCAATGTATTGGTCGAAAATGTTTGAATGGTACCCAGCCCTAATCAATAATATGCTCCTTTATAAATGGGTGGAATAAGCTTCAAACTCAAAGTAAACTAGACTTTAATTGTCAAATGTGTGGTTTTGCAAGACTAAATACTCCCCAACAATATCATCACTACTTTATTAAAGAACCCAGCTTTTAGCCTCTTAGCAAGGCCATGTTTTTGAATATTTGACAATATTGCTGACCTTGTGGTGCTGGCAGGGCCTCTCAGATCTTGTGGTGAGTCCAGATGTGTCTGGTTATATGAGCGCCCTGCTATATCCCAGAGAGATTTAAAGTGGGACCTTTGAAGATTTGATGCGAGAGGAAACGCAAAAGCGTGCCAAGCTTTTGTGTCACATAGGTGCAACAGATCTGCATTTTGGGCTGCCAGAGAAATGTGTGTCACTCCACTGTGAAGAAAGATTCATGCGCGGTTTTGCGCTTCAGTAGCGGGTTGTCACTTTGGTGTCAAGAGCGAGATTGCAGCCAAAACCTAACTTCGCATCAAAAATCCTGAGCTTTGGGTTTTTTTTGCTGCTGAATCTGCAATTCTCATGAAAATTTGCTACCACACCTGCTATGGTCTCCTCCGCTCCACCCTCCACCGTAACCTCTCGGTTATGCTCAGAATACACCATTCGTTTGCCATTGGGGGGGGAGTTCATCCTTTGAATTAACCCGGGTCCTTCAGCCACATCAAACTTGGCACCGCAAACTGTTCTCAGCGAACACGTGCAGGGTCAAGTTGGCAGCAGTTCTCTGTCATTATCCAACAAATGAAGGGCTGAAATGATGATGTTGCTTGGAAGTTAGATGTTGTTCCCTTGGGGACCGCTACACTGTTTACTGCTAATATGCAGGCGTAGCTGAAAACCACTATCATTTGGTATAATCTCTCCGCTCTAAAAGCCAACCAAAAGACTTGCAAGATATTTTCACTGAAGTGTTCCTTAATTCCCAAGGATGAAATTGGTTGTGGTTCAATCACAGCTTAGAAGATTTTCCGTCCATCCATTTCCCTAAGAAGTGTTTCTCAGTGCTGTATACTTGATTAATCCATAGTAATCCATTTGCACAACAGTTGAACTCCTTCAACCCTTTGCTTTGACTTCAGTCGAGGAGGAATTTCACACCTGAATGGCAGAAACCGCTCTCCGTTGGCACCTAAGCATGACAGAGAATGACAACTTTCGCTGACATCTTTCTCTCTCATGGCTGAATTTAGCAAGTACTGACAAAATCGAAACAAGTAATTTATGTTAAAGTCATGACAGTTAACCCAAAAATAAAAATCTGTCATCATTTACTCACCCTTATTTAGATCCAAACCTGTTTGACTTACTTCCTTCTGGAGAACGCAAAAATGACAAATTTTAGAGAATATTTTGATTGTTTTCGTCTACACAGTGAAGGTCAATGGGGTCCAAAACAACGGGGCCCTATTACATGGACAAAAGAGAAAATTTTCAAAATATCATCTTTTGCATTCCACGTATGAAAGAAACTCGTACAGGTTTGGAACGACATGAGGGTGAGCAAACAAATGGAGAAATAAAAGTGACCACAGTGAGTAAAGAGCAAGTTGTACAGTCCAACGGCCCTCAGAACTGATTAAAGTGGATTTGTTGGATGATGTCCTTCAGTCTAAACTATCATTTTGGCTTGAATTGAACTTTCATCTCTCACGCCCGTGCCAGGGGACGACTCCAAATCCAATCTTTACTCGATGATTAGGATGGCAAAGGTTGTGATGGAAGAGTGGGCGTTGTGTCGACTTAAGACTGACTTAATTTCCATCGTTCAGTGCTGCCTATAGTGTCAGAAAAGGGCAAGCTTATGTTGTTATATAAAAGTGAAATAGTCTTAGATCGTTAAAGCGATAGTCCTAAAGGGTTTTCCAATGTTTAAGAATAAATTTAACATCACAACCCTGCTGGAAAAAAAATCTGGTCAGGCAAAGCTTGAAGGGAAAATATCACCTGAAACTGAATGGGGATCTGGGCTGTCAAGGTTTGTTCCTCACACAAAGGGGTAGCTGTTTTTTCCTAATCCAAGAAGGTCTACTAGGCCAAAACCGGGTCCACCATTTGGTAGTCAAGCTAGTAAACTATTCAGACCAGCTTGGACTAACTAGAGACCATATAAAACCAGCTACCACCTTAATTTGTTTCCAACAGGAAACAACATAAACCCACAAAATCAAAGCCAATTTTGAAAGTCATCGCTCTGATTAGCTACACAAGAACAGTAAATTGGCTTGATGACCTGTTTGTTGTTAGTGGTGAACATTAGGGATCATAGTACAGAGGCTGTGGGCTGCACTGGAGGTTTTGGTCCGTTTTTTATAGAGTGCTAATATGCAACAGCAGGGTCCCCGTGGCTCGATTTGGAGGCCGTTTATGAGCAGGCTCCAATTTCAGGGCCCCCAATCCACCACACAACTCATATAACCCCATTAAACCCTGAAGACAGGGGAGTTCAACAGCCATCATTAACATGGCCCGTCTAGACTCCCGAACACGCACACAGGGGTCTTTTGTTTTAGACTGTCGACAACAATATGCAAAAACTTTGAGTGATAAGTGACGTCTGGAAAGAGTTCATACTCTTGTCGCATTTAATAGCCTATAATGAGCTGTATAAAAGGCGATACAGTAAATATCTGTCCACAGAAGCCTTGCTAATGCGTGAATGAAATTATGCACAGGCCACTAAATTGTATTTGCTGTGAATATCACATTACAAAAAGCAATTTCTGAGCTTGGCTACTGCATTTAAAAAAGCTCAGTTTGACAAAACTGCTGACAGGTTGTGTAAAGCACAAATTTTAGGGGCACACTTTGATGTGTCTGATGTATTTTTTGGCAGAGATTTTTGTAATCAAATAAAAACCCTTTATGGTTAGTGCTTTATTGTTCTCAATCTCGCACAGCAAGCGAATACCTATTGTTTGAATGTACGTAAAGCTTTCTCATAAAAGCGCAAGGGGTTTTTAAACCAATAAAGGGGGGGGGGGGGTTTCGCTGCATCCCTGCAGTTCGAAAGACATCAAATGCAGGTAATTACAGTCGACAGAATTAAATTAGGGCCCTCGGGAGACTTAAGGAGGAAAAAAAATAAACATCAGACTGACAGATATTGGACGTAAACTTTTATTAAACCTTTATTAAACATTTTGAGTATCAAAAAAGCATGGCAGAAAGATACACCAAGAATCCTCCATTGGTGCAGGTAGAAACTCTCTTTTTCCAAATAGAAAAAAATCGCTGTTCATGGCACCTTCGTAACAATATACAAAAAAAAGTTCACATACACACACAGAAATATAGACTTGTATAAGAGTGTCTCTGTTGCACATTCGCCCCATACTGTTTTCAGTTGCATACATGAGCTTTAAACAGATGTTGTTGGAGACCAAAAAAGAAAGTCAATTTTTACTCAAGATTTTCTTGAATGAGCAGTTGAAAAGCTATTCCCTTTTCTCAAAGCATACAGCGGGGGAAATAAGTATTGAACACGTCACCATTTTTCTCAGTAAATATATTTCCAAAGGTGCTACTGACATGAAATTTTCACCAGATGTTGATAACAACACAATGAATCAGTACATACAAAGAAACCAAAACAAATAAGCTCAGAAATTAAGTTATGTGTAATAATATGAAATGACACAGGGAAAAAGTATTGAACACATGAAGAAAGGGAGGTGCAAAAAGGCATGGAAAGCCAAGACAACAGCTTAAAACTATTAGTAATTAAAAAGCAATCCAACCCCCTGTCCGTGCACATTAATAACAGCTGGTTCAGTCCCAACGGATGGCCTACAAAAAGGTCTCATTGCCAAGGTGTCACACAAGACACATCTCATGATGGGTAAAAGCAAAGAGCTGTCTCAAGACCTTCGCAACCTAATTGTTCCAAAACATAATGATGGCATTGGTTATAGGTGCATTTCTAAGCTTCTGAATGTTCCAGTGAGCGCTGTTGGGGCCATAATACGGAAGTGGAAAGACAATCATTTCACCATAAATTTGCCTCGACCACTGCTCCTCGCAAGATTTCTGATAGAGGAGTGAAAAGAATAATCAGAAGAGTTGTCCAAGAGCTAACACCAAGGTGTATGGCGTTTTTAGGGTAATGTGCAGTGCCATTTCTCCTCCAAACATGGTGTGTATTATGGCATCCAAACAATTCAATTTTGCTCTCATGTGACCACACTAAATTCTCCCAGTATTTCCCTGGCTTTTCCAAATGTTGTGCAGCAAACTTTAAACGAGCTTCAACATGCTTTTTTTCTTCAGTAATGGAGTCTTGCGTGGTGAGCGTGCATACGGGCCATGGTGGTGGAGTGCATTACTTACTGTTTTCTTTGAGAACACAGTACCTGCTATCTGCAGGTCTTTTTGAAGCTCTCCACAAGTGATCCTTAGCTCTTGGACAACTCTTCTGATTATTCTTTTAACTCCTCTATCAGAAATCTTGCGAGGAGCAGTGGTTGAGGCAAATTTATGGTGAAATGATTGTCTTTCCACTTCCGTATTATGGCCCCAACAGCGCTCACTGGAACATTCAGAAGCTTAGAAATGCACCTATAACCAATGCCATCATTATGTGTTGGAACAATTAGGTTGCGAAGGTCTTGAGACAGCTCTTTGCTTTTACCCATCATGAGATGTGTCTTGTGTGACACCTTGGCAATGAGACCTTTTTGTAGGCCATCCGTTGGGACTGAACCAGCTGTTATTAATGTGCACGGACAGGGGGTTGGATTGCTTTTTAATTACTAATAGTTTTAAGCTGTTGTCTTGGCTTTCCATGCCTTTTTGCACCTCCCTTTCTTCATGTGTTCAATACTTTTTCCCTGTGTCATTTCACATTATTACACATAACTTAATTTCTGAGCTTATTTGTTTTGGTTTCTTTGTATGTACTGATTCATTGTGTTGTTATCAACATCTGGTGAAAATTTCATGTCAGTAGCACCTTTGGAAATATATTTACTGAGAAAAATGGTGACGTGTTCAATACTTATTTCCCCCGCTGTATATATATATATATATATTAGTTCATTATTCTAAGCTATTAAGCAATACTTTAACTTTCAAACTGCATTACAGAGGTTTATACGAATTGACCTGGCACTGGTTGAGTAAATGAGTAAAACTGTGCGGCTATACTTGTAATAAGGTCCGATTTGATTGGACATACAGGAGGAAGTCGTGGCAACAAGGTCGTGTCTCAAAGTCACTCAAAAGAGACAACAAAAAACATGAGTAAAGTAGTAAATAAAGAAGGACAAAGACAAAAAGGGCAAATAAATAATGTACAATCACCAGGACAATCTTATATATTTTGTTTTGGGGTTTGTATTTGGTCCTTCCACTGCTATAGTGCTGATAAGGAAAACTGACAGGGCAGGAGAGAGCATTTAAGATGCTTTTCGTACCGTCCCACTTCAGATGCACAAGAAATCACCGTTTTTGAGATGAGGGAGACATTTTTCCGCCTTCTAAACCTCACTGCATGTGCTGAATCTCTCGATGCATCTTATAAATCATCTGGCACTTTAAGAAGAGTAACAAAAATGTTTTAACCCGACAGAGAAATGCTAAGTTGCCACATGCCATTCGATCCGACAAGCAGCCATTCAAGGCAATAAGTGAGGACGGCAAGTATGATATAGTTTGATCTCTGGGATCAAAGGTCAAAGAATGACCTTAGTCACCCACATCACTGTCTTGGTCTCCGATGATAAACAGGAAGTGGAAGCTGAGAGCTAGGAAGGCCGTTCCCAACAAGTCGCCCAGCGCCGTCAGGTACGGGATAGAGAAACTGTCCGGATCTTTCCCGCTCTTCCAAATGGAGTGCACCATCCAGTCCGCTATGCAAAGCAACAAGAACACCTGGGAGGGAAAGAGAACGCACACAAGACTGTGTTGAATATCTGCTACGGCATCCGTAAAGAACAAAAACACAGTCCCTTCCGCCGTACCTTTGGATGAACTTTCCCACACACGCACACAACAGGAAGCTCTAAATCAGAAAGAGACGAAGGGAATGGTTCCAGAAGTAACGCAATGTTTTTGTTTATGGAGCTTCTTTGAAAGACTCGTCTCGGAAATGAAACAAGATCCCATTCTTTTGAAAAGCGGCGTTCACATTTAAGACAAATACCCGAAACGGCTTCAGAACACACATCATAGGGCTTTTCATCTAGCGCAGCTCATTAAACATCAGCAAAGCAGGCCTGTGTTTGCCTTTGCTGAGCATCGCAGACTATTAAAATGCTCTTTTGGATCAGTGCGGCCCTTTGAATGCCAGTTTGTTTGCTTAATGGAGATCTAACATTTGAAATCTTCATCTTGCATTCAATTGGAAGCTAATGAGATGGACCGCAGCAATCCCCGAAGGCTCTTCGCTTTCGGCCCGTGTTCCTGTGCATGCGAGAGTGAAAGACTTTCATTTCAACTAAATAAAAATGAGGCCTGCCCATTAATCAGGCTGACGGGCCGGTGTGAAACTCTATTTGGAGGTCTGGCGCTCTGGTTAACCGGCTGGGCGGCGTTCATTTATATCAGTTATATTAAGGTCAGCGCAAGATGGTTAAAAAACTATTCGCTCTATGCCGCAGATTTGAAACTTCAATTTAGGTAGCAGGAAATAAATGGCCATTTTAAAGGCTATTAATTGTGCCTACCAGGCAAGATGAGTTTTGTGACATTATTTCGATAATTAACCTTGTGTGTATCCGTGTGTGAGAATATCAGAACGACGACCTTTCCACGGGAGATTTCCACTCGCGTTTTCTCTCCCTTTCGCTCTTTATAAGGATTTGATCAATTAACGATTAAACAGTTAGGCAGGGGCCTTCCTAAAAGCTGAGGAAAGTGATGGTTTGCTAATGTACACAAGCTGTTGAGACCCGACAAGATTAGCCTTGTAGTTCCACCCTGCGCAAACACACAGACACACTTTTCCATCACTCAAAAGGACAGAGAAAGCAGTCAGAGATGTTGCATGTTGCATTCTCTCTCTCTCTCTCTCTCTCTCTCTCTCTCTCTCTCTCTCTCTCTCTCTCTCTCTCTCTCTCTCTCTCTCTCTCTCTCTCTCTCTCTCTCTCTCTCTCTCTCTCTCTCTCTCTCTCTCTCTCTCTCTCTCTCTCTCTCTCTCTCTCTCTCTCTCTCTCTCTCTCTCTCTCTCTCTCTCTCTCTCTCTCTCTCTCTCTCTCACACACACACACACTTTTACTTAGCTATCTAAATGAAAATGTTCCATAAAAACAACAGAAGTACAGTATATAAAGCTAATTATAATGACTACAGACTAACCCAAACCCTAAACCCTACTTTAAGTACATGCCCAAAAGAAGGTTGTCAGATTTAGCTAACTCACAAACCCCCACTGAAAAGCAAAGGTTAGCACAGCGTCCTTTTCTTAGGTTCACAGTGGAAAAAAGGTTAAAAGTAACGTCATTTTGTCATTAAACAACCAGACAGTGTCAACAAGACAGACATTATCAGCGCTACCAAAAATATATTTTGTGTATCGTTTGATTGTTACTACATGTTGTTTACTTTGAATACTAGTTACCCTCTTAGTCATCAAATTCTCAGTAAACCCTTGTAATGATGATGATGAAAAAAGATGATATTATTTACATGATATATATATGTACACTACCGTTCAAAAGTTTGGGGTCGGTACGATTTTAAATACTTTTAAAAGAATTCTCTTCTGCTAACCATGGCTGCGCTTATTTGATTAAAAATACAACAAAAATCAGTTATAGTATTAAATATTATTCCAGTGTAAATCAGCTGTTTTCTGTGTGAATATATAGTAAAGTGTAATTTATTCCTGTGATCAAAGCTGAATTTTCAGCATCACCAGTGTCAGTGTCTTCAGTGTCAAATGATCCTTCACAAATCAGTATAATATGAGGATTTGATGCTTAAGAAACATTTATTATTATTATCAATGTTGAAACAGTTGTTGGTCTGTCAGTTGTACAGTTTTTTTTTTCTTTAGGATTCTTTGATGAATAGGAAGTTCAAAAGAACAGCATTTGTTTGAAATAGAATCTTTTGTAACATTATAAATGTCTTTACTGTCCTTGATAAATACAAGTATTGATTTCTTTCCTCCAAAAAATAAAAATAAAATTCTCACTGACCCCAAACTTTTGAACGGTAGTGTAAATGTTGAAAATATGTTTGTACTGTGGATTATTCTCTCATCTAAATTTGTTTAGGTTTTCGTTACCTCATTGTAAAAAAAAATTTCCTGGAGAGGCAAGTGAACATCCAATTTAGACCTTCTGCACAACGTCACCAAAAATACTTACCAGCTATGTACTACATTTAACCTGGGAATTTCTTCCTCTAAAGCAGACTGTTTTTTCTGGAGTTCTATAGATGCCTTGTATTTGAAGACCCGTGAAGGTCAGAGGTCAGGGGGCCACTCTCAGGGCACCTGACACATGTTCAACAAGGCAAGCTATAGGCTGAACCTTTGTTTAAGAGATTTTGTTCTGAGAAGCATCATGTGGCAATTTTTAGTTTTACATGGGATTTTCTTTGCCAAATTTGGTATAAAAAATAACAAAATAATTGGTACAATGGTCTGTCTGAATACTCTATTCTGATTGGCTGGAAGGTGTGCAATAAAACCATTTAATGCACATGTAGTTCCAAGTCAGTTTAATCACCTATAATCACTATATAACCCATTAATCACTTTATTAATGCACTGCTTTCATTGAAGCGCACACACACACGTCACTGTCACTCGCACACAGAGATCGGAGATCGACCTGCGCAAACACTGAAAGATAGAAACTTGTCAATAACGCTGCCCCACAACTTATATTAATAGATTAACTTTGCTAATGAATCACTACATTATATTATTCAGCAAGGAGGTTGTAAAGTCACTGTTTTTGAGCTTCATTGCAAGTAGAGAGACGCTGCACAGACACAGGTAATTCACATGTACATATCCATCTATCTATCTCTCTCTATTCCTCCCGATAGGCTAATCCATTCAAATAAATGTTATAATTCAATCAAATAAATGTAACCATACCACACTACTTTATCTCTGTGTCTGATTTAAAGCAGACAGAATGCTAAATCTAATGAGTGGTAGCTTACGAAAATAACTGCCATTTGAACCCTTCCAGTCAAATTAAGCGCTGCAAACATCAATGACAGCTTCAAGTTGTCAACGCTGGCAAATGACCATGGTATAAGCTGGATAATACACACCTAGCTGTGCATCAAATGATTTGAAATGCTTTGCCTCTACGTCGTGCATTAAAATCGTTTGATGCACAGCTAGCCGTGGTTAATTTTTTATTTATATATTCAAATATATAAATGAAGATGTGACAAGAAGGTTACTAGTATTAATAGTAGCAACAAAACCCCCCAGCTAATAACAGTACAAATAAAATATCAGTATATATATTTGCAACTGTATTATTGTAGTTGATTTTCAAGCAGTGAATATACACTCACCGGCCACTTTATTAGGTACCCCATGCTAGTAACGGGTTGGACCCCCTTTTGCCTTCAGAACTGCCTCAATTCTTCGTGGCATAGATTCAACAAGGTGCTGGAAGCATTCCTCAGGGAGTTTGGTCCATATTGACATGATGGCATCACACAGTTGCCGCAGATTTGTCGGCTGCACATCCATGATGCGAATCTCGCGTTCCACCACATCCCAAAGATGCTCTATTGGGTTGAGATCTGGTGACTGTGGAGGCCATTTTAGTACAGTGAACTCATTGTCATGTTCAAGAAACCAATTTGAAATGATTAGAGTTTTGTGACATGGTGGAAGTAGCCATCAGAGGATGGGTACATGGTGGCCATAAAGGGATGGACATGGTCAGAAACAATGCTCAGGTAGGCCGTGGCATTTAAACGATGCCCAATTGGCACTAAGGGGCCTAAAGTGTGCCAGGAAAACATCCCCCACACCATTACACCACCACCACCAGCCTGCACAGTGGTAACAAGGTATGATGGTTCCATGTTCTCATTCTGTTTACGCCAAATTCTGACTCTAACATCTGAATGTCTCAACAGAAATCGAGACTCATCAGACCAGGCAACATTTTTCCAGTCTTCAACTGTTCAATTTTGGTGAGCTCTTGCAAATTGTAGCCTCTTTTTCCTATTTGTAGTGGAGATGAGTGGTACCCGGTGGAGTCTTCTGCTGTTGTAGCCCATCCGCCTCAAGGTCGTGCGTGTTGTGGCTTCACAAATGCTTTGCTGCATATCTCGGTTGTAACGAGTGGTTATTTCAGTCACTGTTGCCCTTCTATCAGCTCGAACCAGTCTGGCCATTCTCCTCTGACCTCTGGCATCAACAAGGCATTTCCGCCCACAGAACTGCCGCTCACTGGATGTTTTTTTCTTTTTCGGACCATTCTCTGTAAACCCTAGAGATGGTTGTGCGTGAAAATCCCAGTAGATTAGCAGTTTCTGAAATACTCAGACCAGCCCTTCTGGCACCAACAATCATGCCACGTTCAAAGTCACTCAAATCAACTTTCTTCCCCATACTGATGCTCGGTTTGAACTGCAGGAGATTGTCTTGACCATGTCTACATGCCTAAATGCACTGAGTTGCCGCCATGTGATTGGCTGCTTAGAAATTAAGTGTTAACGAGCAGTTGGACAGGTGTACCTAATAAAGTGGCCGGTGAGTGTATATATACTGTGTGTGTGTGTGTGTGTGTGTGCGTGTATGTATATATATATATATATATGTGTGTGTGTGTGTGTGTGTGTATGTGTGTATGCGTGTATGCGTGTATATATATGTGTGTGTGTGTGTTAAAATGTATTATCCTATAATTGAATTATTAATTACTATAGTTGACTCGAAGTTCTAAATTAACATTTTTGCAGTTACATAAATAGTATAGTAGTACTTAAAATTACATTTCTCAAAGAGAAAGTAAGAATTCGGTGATTAATGTACACAAACAATTTAAAAGACACAAAATGACTGAGCAGCACAATAATGCAATAAATGGACCCACTCATTTTTCCTGTCTCTGAATGCCTGTCTCTCTCTCTTTCTCCATCCTCAAGGATTCTTCAAATAGGTCTGAAGTCAAGCAGTATGGCTGCGGATCTCAAAGATGTGTGTGTTTAGGTTAGCAAGGACGTTTCACGAACACTGTACACATACAGACAAACTTCCTAAAAATACCACACATTCCACCACTCGCAACATGCCTCCGCATGCCAGCCGCTGAATGCACTTACTGAGGTTCTCCGAGGGTAATCTATCTTAATTGCGATCTAAACAATTTATGAAAACACCCTTTTGGAATAACCAAGCACTCACAGATACATACAACACCCACATACACACACAAACAACACCTGCTCACTATCCCTAATGTCATCGCTGTTTCATTTTCAGGGGAAATGGGGCGGCTAAAAGCTCTGGGGATTTTCTAAAAGGTTTGTAGGTTTATGATGGGAAAAAACGCCATGTTGCAACATTGCTACATGTGGGCGGCAAGCGGCACATTTTTCGTGATTAAGCTGAAGATGAAATAGATTCCCCAGACCGGTATCGTAAAATGGGTGTCTGATTTTATGATTATGGCCTGACATTTTCGTCTGCTACAGGAAAGAGTGCTTACTCCTGAACCTCAAATAGCTGTCAGATTTGATAAAAATATATAGTGATGACAGGTTATTAAAACAGCATGAAGATGTCAGTGTCTTGACATCTGGTTAGAAGGCCTCATTAGGATTGATATTTTTGTCATAGTGTGACAACAACATCACACTCACCTGGAGAAGAGCAGCAGCCAAATACACAACCATGAAGACGGGCGTCAGTGAGGTGTGACCTCTTTCCATCAGATCAATAGTGTACAGGAAGATCAAATGGCCAGGGACAACCAGTAACAGCAGTACCTGTGCTGACCTGTGATTGGCCCCTGAAAAAAAAAAGAGAGAGAGAGAGGAGAAAAAAAAGGTTAATTTTTGAAAGCAATACATCAAATCTAATAATGATGATACTGTGTGTGTGTGTGTGTGTGTGTGTGTGTGAATATATATATATATATATATATTAGGGCTGTCAAATGATTAATCGTGATTAATCACATCCAAAATAAAAGTTTTTTTTACATAATATATGTGGGTGCACTGTCTATAATTATTTTATATATATAAATACACACACATGCTTGTATATATTTAAGAAATATTTTCATGTATATACTGTATATAGATTTATATATAATTTATATTATATATAAATATAAATATTTTATATATAAATAATATTTTTTTCTTAAATATACATGCATGTGTGTGTATTTATATATATACAAAATAATTATACACAGTGCACCCACATATATTATGTAAAAAAAACTTTTATTTTGGATGTGATTAATCGTGATTAATCATTTGACAGCCCTAATATATATATATATATATACATAACCATATACACTCACCGGCCACTTTATTAGGTACACCTGTCCAACTGCTCGTTAACACTTAATTTCTAAGCAGCCAATCACATGGCGGCAACTCAGTGCATTTAGGCATGTAGACATGGTCAAGACAATCTCCTGCAGTTCAAACCGAGCATCAGTATGGGGAAGAAAGGTGATTTGAGTGACTTTGAACGTGGCATGATTGTTGGTGCCAGAAGGGCTGGTCTGAGTATTTCAGAAACTGCTAATCTACTGGGATTTTCACGCACAACCATCTCTAGGGTTTACAGAGAATGGTCCGAAAAAGAAAAAACATCCAGTGAGCGGCAGTTCTGTGGGCGGAAATGCCTTGTTGATGCCAGAGGTCAGAGGAGAATGGCCAGACTGGTTCGAGCTGATAGAAGGGCAACAGTGACTGAAATAACCACTCGTTACAACCGAGGTATGCAGCAAAGCATTTGTGAAGCCACAACACGCACAACCTTGAGGCGGATGGGCTACAACAGCAGAAGACTCCACCGGGTACCACTCATCTCCACTACAAATAGGAAAAAGAGGCTACAATTTGCAAGAGCTCACCAAAATTGGACAGTTGAAGACTGGAAAAATGTTGCCTGGTCTGATGAGTCTCGATTTCTGTTGAGACATTCAGATGTTAGAGTCAGAATTTGGCGTAAACGGAATGAGAACATGGAACCATCATGCCTTGTTACCACTGTGCAGGCTGGTGGTGGTGGTGTAATGGTGTGGGGGATGTTTTCCTGGCACACTTTAGGCCCCTTAGTGCCAATTGGGCATCGTTTAAATGCCACGGCCTACCTGAGCATTGTTTCTGACCATGTCCATCCCTTTATGGCCACCATGTACCCATCCTCTGATGGCTACTTCCACCATGTCACAAAGCTCTAATCATTTCAAATTGGTTTCTTGAACATGACAATGAGTTCACTGTACTAAAATGGCCTCCACAGTCACCAGATCTCAACCCAATAGAGCATCTTTGGGATGTGGTGGAACGCGAGATTCGCATCATGGATGTGCAGCCGACAAATCTGCGGCAACTGTGTGATGCCATCATGTCAATATGGACCAAACTCCCTGAGGAATGCTTCCAGCACCTTGTTGAATCTATGCCACGAAGAATTGAGGCAGTTCTGAAGGCAAAAGGGGGTCCAACCCGTTACTAGCATGGGGTACCTAATAAAGTGGCCGGTGAGTGTATATATGGTAATACTTTACAATAAAGTTTCATTAACATTAACTACTTTAGTTAACATGAACTAAGAATGTATATACTTCTACAGCATTTACTAATCTTAGTTCATGTTTATTTCAACATTTACTAATACATTAATCAAAAATGATGTTTCTTAACATTAGTTAATGCACCGTGAACAAACAATGAATGACTGTACTTTTATTAACTAACATTAACAAAGATGAATAAATACTATAACAAATGTATTGCTCATTGTTAGTTCATGTTAGTTGATGCATTAACTAATGTTAATGAAACCTTATTGTAAAGTGTTGTGTCCACTTCATCCAGTATGAAGACATCGGCTTAAAACACCACAGAATTCAAACAACCCTCCACGTGCGATCAATGCACATGTGTAGGTGTTCGTATATTGGATTTATTCTATGTTTAGAAGTCTATATGCATACAGTAAACATCTCATTCACAAACACTACACTTCTCTCACTCCATTAGCATCCCTCTGAACCCCCGCAGTATGGCGTCCCTGTGCGTTCAGAGTCCTTGAAGGAGGAAGATTTATGCCCATCTTTCCAGATGGCACTGCTAAGCTTGCAGTGGGCACCGTGCCCCTCATGTGCTCGGGCATCTGGACTCTATCCCCAGAGTCCTCTTGTTTCTCTAAGAAGAAGCCCTGCATCAAAGCTCCGGCATCAACACGCTACCTCTGTTGTTTATAGGAAGCGTTCTCTGCTTTTCTCCGAGATGGATCGTTATACACAAACCACCGTTGCACACACTCCATTAAAGCTAATGTATACACACTTGCAAGCACTTTCAAGTGATGTTGCTCTAAACACTGGTTACTTGTTCTCGCTCTCTTTAATACAGGCTATGAAAGCAAAAACTGCCCTCAAATGTGTGTTTAAGTCCCTCTCTTTAAATTTGTAGGCATTAAAGGATGTTCGGAGGATTTAAAATAGCACGAAAGCAGTGGTGTTCAGTTTTGAGCCATGTCATAACTTGATCCCATTCCTTCATTATGTAGTTTATCTACTTTGTCACTATCTACTTTGTTTTGTTATGTATTGTGACACAAGTTGGTATAATTTGAAGCACACTGGGGAAGTGTTCGGGGTCACCTGAGCCACAGAAGGTTCGGCAGGGGCAGTAGCAACCCTTGGCCTCATCAGGAACCTCTCCAGGGGTGCTGTGAAAGTGCAGGTAGGTGGATATCCGACTGGACTGGATAGCCACCAGGTTTCCCCCGATACCTACAATACAATATTACTCACATCAGACAAATATATACTGAGAGTACAGGGCTAAAAATGTAATCAAAAACAAGGAGGAAAAAGCAGCGTGCCTGTTTCCAGCAAGATTAAAGGTGATGATACACAGGGCAACTTTTTGAGCAAGCATTGTTGCTGGGCAATGTTGCCGTCAACCAGATGAGACACAGGACTCACGACCGATCTAAATTATCCAGATAGAAATGTATTGCCCATTTTCAATGGGAAAGTGCCCAAGCAACAATCGCTCGGCAAGATTGATTGCAACATTGCTCAAAAAGTTGCCCTGTGTATCATCACCTTTAGACTTTCACGGTTCACACCAAGAACGATAACTATAAAGATATAGTTTATAGATATATATTAGCATCCACACCAGCGGACGATATCGCTCTGTTTATTCTAAGGGTGTGCTGCAGTTTTGTCGTCTGCAGCTTTAAATGCTCGAGCTCTTTAACGCAGGATGGATCTGAGTGGCTGTAAATGTTTTTATGGCTAATCGGCTGAAAAAAATGTGATTCCAACGATATCGTTTCTCTGTGCCGTTATAGTTGTGGTGTGGACTCTGCTATTATTTTAAATTTAGAAATGATTTTTATAACTATATCATCATTATAGTTATCATCCTTGGTGTGAACGGGCCTTAACTCTGTGTCAGTGAAGCTTCTACAGAGAAAACTTTTTTTAGTTCATGAATACAGGCTTAATTTTTTCACTGTCAGACTGGCAGCCATGAGTCACCAGTACTAACTCTGCTTTTGTCCCCCGCCTCTTTTATCTCTCTCTTTCTTTCTCGCACAACAAGCACAGCCCTTCCTCTCTCCCTCTCTCTCTATCTATCTCTCTCTCTCTCTCTCTCTCTCTCTCTCTCTCTCCTGAGTAAAGTAGAGTGGTGTACAGAGCTGCAGTAATGATATGTCACGTCCAGCAGTTCTGGGAGAAGACAAGTCAGTGAGAGAGAGTGAGTGAGTGAGTGAGAGAAAGACAGAGGACAGAACAGAACAGACAACACAGAGACGGACAGAACATACACATTCTCTGCTCTTTTTACACCATCTGGTTTGTCACTCTGCAGAACTAAAACATCTGTTTTTAAAATAGAACCAATTAGAATAGAATACAATGGAATATTTGTCAATTAGAGTGGAACAGAACTAACAAAATCAAACAGAATAGAACAGCACAAAATAACTGCAAAAATAGAAATGGAAATAGAAAATGAAAAGGAATAGAATAGAACACTAAATAGAACAGCACAAAAAAACTAACTGAAAAGAACAGAATACAACAGAACTAAATAATGTAGTATTCAAAACGCCGCAGCTCGAGTTCTTACCAGAACCAGGAAATATGACCATATTAGCCCGGTTCTGTCAACACTGCATTGGCTCCCTATTAAACATCGTATAAATTTTAAAATATTGTTGATTACCTACAAAGCACTAAATGGTTTAGCTCCGCAGTACTTGAGCGAGCTCTTAACGCATTATAGTCCTTCACGTCTATTGCGATCTCAAAATTCCGGCCAGTTGATAATACCTAGAATATCTAAATCGACTGCTGGCGGTAGATCCTTTTCCTATTTAGCACCAAAACTTTGGAACAGTCTTCCTACCATTGTCCGGGAAGCAGACACACTCTGTCAGTTCAAAGCTAGACTAAAAACACATCTCTTTGACCTAGCATACACATAATACATTATAGACTTCTATAAATTCAATGTTAGGCTGCATAGATTAGGTCAGCCGGAACTGGGAACACTTCCCTTAAATCTTGATGTACTCGCTACATCATAAGAAGAATGGCATCTACGCTAATATTAGTGTCTTTGTTTATCCCGAGGTTTTCCCGCAGCCTGCCGGATCCAGGCCGTGTCCAGATCTGACGAAGGAGATTCGCCTGGACCCGATGACAATGCAGTGCTGAAGTATCCACTATCCTCTCCCTATGGAGGATCACTTTCCCACTCTACAGATAAAGCGCTGTGAATTCCGGCTCGCGTACCCCGAAGTGATAAAATAAAACAAAATTCTGTATCAAAATTTATAGGCAAGAAAAGTAGTTTGTTTAGGTATGAATTACAAACCTGCGCACATATTTTAAAAAGCACATAACTATAGAATTCTGAATGAGCATGTGAACGCCATCAGCGTTAATCACAGGTTCGCGTTTAAAGTCTGATCATTTCGACGGAGGTGAATCAATCAAAGTTAACTTTAGCTGGAAGTAACATTATTCAAGAACCGCTATAACGCCAAAACAATCTGTTACCTTAAATTATATGTTTATCTCTGTAAAGCTGCTTTGAAACAATTCATTGTTAAAAGCGCTATATAAATGAAGATGACTTGACTTGACTATTAAATTGAATAGAATACAAATATAGAACATCAGAACTATACTGAATACAATAAAACAAAGAAGAATCTCCAAAACAATGAAACAAAACCGAATAAAATATACAAAATAGAACAGAACAAAATAGAATTTGATTGAAACGAATGAAACAGAACAGAAGATAACAGAAAAGAAAGAGACATTTTAGTGAAAGAAGACCCTGTGCAATCCATCAAACAACTGTTGGGGATTTGGGAATTGCTTTAAAAAAAGCACTGCCACTCCACGGAAAACAACCTGAATGTTTAGTAACTGCAAGAGGACAGTCAATACTAATGGAAATTATTTAAAATATTATACTTTCAGTCCACAGCCAAACAGGAAATCAGTGATCTGAATTACAATAAGACGAAGCAAATCTATTTCTCACATACGATAGTGCATTCATGCCCATAATGACATTAATATTTCCCATCGTTAAAGACCAGACCTAAATGAGAACGATTATCTTTTAACACCGCACAGGCCTCTGCACAATTAGCCCCAACAAGTACTTGTTTGTGTTTAATGCAGAGGGTACAATTATGCCACACTGTGCCACGTCCCTGTGGCAGTGCTGGAGAGACGCCATCTGAATGGATGATAGTGTGGGAAAGTGTTTGTGGCTCAGACTAGCTGGACAGGTCTAAAATTTCTTAATGTTCTCACAAACAAGCAACGGTGTGACATTTTGGATATGGGCTGGGGGCATGAGAAAAGAGTGTATGGGAATTTTTCAACCTTTCCTAGAGCATCGAGGTCCAATTAATCCGATGCTTTTTTTTTTTTTTTTAGCTTTGTCTGCCAACAGGAAATGGAGATGATATGCAACCTCATTTCTGTCCAAGCAGTGGGATTAACATATATGGACACTTTAATCTGGGTCATAGAGCTGATGAGACTTTGGCTGAGTGTGCAGCAGGGCTTGAGTATGGGTCCAATTGGATTCCAGTATGTACAGTGTTTGGGTTGGGATATTCAAAACTACATATTTTTTTATGTTTTAAGGCTTGTATAATTATTAGGCTGGCTGCAGGTTCATTTGATCCTGATCGGACACAATTGTTGGAGGGAATTTTCATCCTTGCATTCAAAAACAGAAAGATGGACTACTTTTTTTTTTTAAACGGACTTCTTGTAACTTAACACGTAGCCTTAAATGTGCAACTCTCTTTTTTGCAGAGTCTTGCAGTGAGAGTCTCCAAGTATAGCATAAGATGCAACGTAACAGTCAAAAAAGTCTGTCTGAATGTATAGGTCTATAGCTGTTGTAGTATTAATTTGGATGAATTTAAAGATGCACCTTTTCAGAGAGGGTTTTATCATACATGATTTACTGCTAAATCACGGCAACTTAAAACATTAAAAGTAAAAAAACAAAAACATCTAGATAAAGCACACTAATTGGCGGGTAACAAATCGAACACTGTGACCCATCCCTAGTACTGTGGGTGATAAGAGAGTTCTGAGGCTCTATTTATGTAAAACAGAAACTATTTCTCTATACCTAAGTGGCACGTGTGTGTGTGTGTGTCTGTGTGTGTGTGGTAATCATTTAAATTACCTTCCCTGACTCGTTTCCTGTTTGGGCAGACAAACTATAGAAGCCTCTGTTACTCATCCTATCACTCTCTTTTCCTTTCTTTTGCCCTTCTTTTGAGTTTCTCGCTAACTCTGCTCTTAGAATGAAGAATAAAAACCTTTGATTTTGATATTCTGAATTATAGATATATTTTGATATAACTTTAAATATTCTGACATAAACAGTCTTCTTTCACACACACACACACACACACACATGCAGAGATTCAAACAGCTGTCTGGTGGTCTGGGCGGGTGAGCATAGGCAGACTGCAGACAGCGTAAATGTCTCTCATTAGCGTGCCTTAATTAAAAAACGTATGGCTCTTTGTGGAGGTGCCATGGTCCTGGCTTCCTTTCCTGTTACCACAAGAAATTCAACTGCCACAATTAACGACTTCACCCCACGACTCAATCACATCCAACTCTATTTTAGCTATATTCCATCATTTGGCTTTTTCTCAATATGGAAACGTTTATTAAAAATCACAAAAAAGTGCCTATATCTGCCTCGAGGATACTTGCGTGACTTTAAATGAGGGCGAATATTACAGAGACGTTACTTTTAGGTAATAAAAAGTCTGAGAAGGGACTGAAACGTGCCATGGACATGGGCGTAGGTCTACAAATTAAGAATTTAAAAGCTTAAACCTTCCAAGACACAAATAAGGCATTTAAAATTCAGATATTGATGTTGTTTGGCCTATTATACAAAATATAATACCAAGACCAAGAGTGTCAAGAATAATCCAGCAGTAACCAGTGTTGTACTTAGCATGTATTTTCAGTAGAGATGCACAGATCAACCGGCCAGGGACCGGAATCTGCCTATTTTCCGCATGATCGGCCTGGACCGGTAACTGGCCGGCAGTCTCACGTCTTTCCGATTCCAAGCCGGTCCGTTTTGTTGCCAGCAGCACAGGCAATAACATCTCGGTCTCTTCTCTCTGACTGTGAAGTGACACACACCCTCCTCTCACTCACACGTCTCCTTCACTCTGGTTAAATAGTGCTTGTATAGCGCATAATTTTACTTATTACGCAGGTTTCGTGCTCACATCAAAAGCGCACAAGCCACCTCTCAGTCTAAAGCAGCTTGTGAGTCACAAGTACCAAAATGAGTGGCTTACTGCACTTAAACAGTTAAATACACACAAGATTATGTCAAAATGCCCGTCTCGGCAAGTATTCAGTTAAACAAAGTCAGTTTTGGAATCTAATTAGTTGAGAAAGATAACAAGTTGTGTAACAGTATATTGGATCCGTGCATAAGCTCTTAAAGTGACAGCAGCCTAATAAACCTGCTGATGTCTGTCATGTTAATAAAAGAACAAAAGACAAAAAAAAAATCACTCTCTGCTCTTGACTGAATAACTTTTGTAACTAATTGTAAGCATTAATCTGTATGTAATTTTTACAATGAAGACTATATACTGTTTTTTTTTTACATTTGATTAATTTCTGTAGTAGGCTATTTCTTACCTGAATATACTGTATAACCACCTGAGAAACTTAAAGCCGTGTTTATTTCATATCTCTCTTTATTCTATTGCATTTATTTGTTCTGTTGTTTGAAATTTGTTTATTTGTTCTTAATTTATTACGGTCTTTTTACTTGTTTCTTTATGAATATAAAATTTTGCATTGAAGAAAATATTTGGTTTTTTTTGTTGTATATGTTGTCAATTATAGTCTCTTGAAAGAAAATCGGAATCAGCAAAAATCGGTATCGACAGGTCACACTTGCACAATAAAATCAGAAATCGGCCAAGAAAATTGCAATCGGTGCATCTGTAATTTTCAGAAGATAAAAAGTGCAAGCTTTATAGAATATTTTTGTATAAATAAATCTCACCATTGATAACAGGCGTGTAAACCACAATCCCAGCAAGGTTGGGATCAGACACAGTTTTGTCCAGAATGAGTCCTCCAATGCTGAAATAGGGAACATTTTGATTATTTAGAGCACCAAAGGAAGGCCACATGCTTTTTCAGTGTGTGTGTGTGTGAATCCATGGCCAGGTGTGTGAGGTGTGTGTATGTGTGTGTGTATCACACCTGCTGATGAACATGGCAGTGATCACGGGCTCCCAGCCTGAGTACAGCAGCTGACGGCTGGCAGGGTGTTTGGAGGAGATGACCATCCACAGTGGAGTCAGACACATGAAGAAGGCACACACCAGCGATGACACATATGGGTGAGAGTCTAAAAAAACAGACAACACAGTGAATATAGGTAGTCTTAGGTCATTTTGATTGAAGCTACTTAAAAGGGTTAGTTCAAAGTTACTTCTTTCCCTCCATTGACAGCTACGCAACTACCACTTTGATGCTTTAAAAAGTTCATAAAGAGATCGTAAAACAAATCCATATGAATTGAGCGGTTTGGTCCACATTTTCTGAAGAGACTCGATTGCTTTATATGATGAACAGATTGAATTTAGGCTTTTACTCACATATAAACGTTCACCAACGCACACATCAGATATGGTAAACAGAAGCTCAAGAATGCTTGTTGTTATTGAGCTTCTCAATGTTTATATGTGAATAAAAGCCTAAATTTAATCTGTTCTTCAAATAAAGAGATCGAGTCTCTTCAGAAAATTTGGACTTAACCACTCAACTCCTATCATGGATTAGTTTTATGGTCTCTTTATGAACTTTTTGAAGTGTCAAATTTTATATTACGGTTTTTACTGTAATTTTTATCAAATAAAAGCAGTTTTGGCATAAGAAAAAATTTTTTTTTTAAAAATGTAATGGTAGTGTATTCAAGTTAAAAGTTACAAACTGCTCTCGGACCACACTATAACCCATTTTTCAAAACCTAGGAAGGGGTTGACAGCTGTAATGGCAGATTGACAGAAAGAAAATAACCATGACCAACATCTTGTTGATGACAGACATCATGTTGTCGGCTGTGGTTCTGTTCAAATGTCACACAATAATCAAGCTCTCAGAATTCAGTTATGACTTCTATGTGGGGTTAGGAAATATTTAGAATATTAATTTAAAAGCATTGTGAATATGACAAGAAATGTTTTCCCAATAAGTTTCCCAAAGATTATGCCAATACATTCAGGGTTTTTTTGTTTCGTGAGCAACCCTTTTTATAGTCTCTAAATAAGTGTGTTCCATTTCTACGCAGCACAATTATTACAAAGCGGTTCAAAATTCACGATTGACGATCTGATTCACAATTTATTTTGCGCCACCACTCAAAATCGTTCATGGTAATCTCAACGTGGTGCCCCGATCGAGACTGACAACCATACTCTGCTGCTGTGTGAATGTAGCCGTACTGACTGGCTCTAATTGGATTTAACCAGATTGAGGAAGAAAAATATGATCTTCTTAAAAGCCGAATTAAATCTTTTAAAGCAGACAGAGAAGCCAAAAAAGGTTTCACTCCTTGCTAAATACTCTTCATCACACACACTAAACAGCCTAAATCTTTAAATCCCAAACATAGAGGCAACATCTGTGACTATATTTAGTGTGGTATGGGCATGACAGGGCAGCGGTGTGCGCTAATGATGGCAGAAGCCTCTCTTCTCGGCTGGTTGGCATGGCTGATATGGTTTTGGCATTGCACGGTGGTGCCGTTTGCCTTGCCTTCACCTCACTTCACCTCTCTTTTAAAAAAGGAAAGACTAAAACTGGAGTGCGGCGCTCAGTCTGGGGCTTATCACACTGAGTCATCAGAGAGCAAAGCCCCATTAAACCCAGCATAAACAACCCAGAACACTGCTCGGGACGGCCCATGTGTGACTTTCACACTTTCAGAGATAGTGTTTATGTGCGTGAGAGAGACACTGTGCAGGTTTGGCGATGCTTGCAAGGGGCAGATTTCCCACAAACATAGAGAAGCATGTTGAAAACCAAATTTAAAGTGGTCCTCAATATTTGACAGGATCATAAAGTGTCTGATATTTGATCTTTTCACTAGGCTTCGCAGTGTAAATGAGAGTTGACAAGAACTGACAAGAAAGCTAATTTCTTTATTTGTTTGTTTAAATTCATACAACTTGACAAAAAAGTTAATTTCTAATTATTCTACTATTCTAATAGTAATATTTGAAAATATATAAATATTTTCATACTTTTAAAATATACAAATGTATATATACAAAGATTAATTTTTATACATGTGTTTTTAATTTATTACATACATAAAATACCAAACCAATAATAAAGAACTAAGAAATTCATTTCTGTGTTATTAAAAACTAATGTTTCAGTATCGTGCCCAAACTCATGGGCAGCGCTAGACTGAGTATCAGTTCAAGAAAGGCGCTTGACAGAGAGACTGTGCATGTCTGTGTGGAAGAGAGAGGCATAGTCAGCCCTGTGTGTGTGTTTCATGAGAATGTGGATACGTAGAGTCGTAGACACAGAGAGGTCATGCACTACGTCACAACACTCTCATTGTCCTGAGCCAGACTCATTAGCAGAGTGACCCTTCCCATAAAACATATCAACCCCACGGTCCCATAAACCATAATATACACCCCTCACATGATCTGCTGACACCTGCTATAGAGTGTGAGAGTGTGAAATGTGCTGCTACGTTTAAGATATATTACTGGTCACACTCTAATATGACAGATAAAGTCTGAAATATGATCAATTATTTCACATTTAGACACTGTGCTATGACAAATGTATCTAAATTTTATTTAGTCAAGGCTGGAATCTAAAGTGAGGGATTTGTGCGCCCTCTTGTGGCAGAAAACTGAAAGCATGGCTGATCTGCTGGAGAGAAACAACTACAGATACATCAAAATCTAACCTGCTACCTATTCTGGACAAAATTAACTGTCTTTCTGGCTCTGTTACAATTCCTAGTGAGCCACCTCACTGTATGCTGGCTACATACGCAGCTACCTTCTAATGCAGCATCCTAACCAAAATGGAACTGAAAGTGACCCTTCAGGTTGTCAAACTTACTTTTTAAATGCATACTGTGAGCCTATGATGCCCAGAAATGCTATCGTGGTAGGCAGCTCACAAGGGTTTGGAACAGAGCCCTTATTTTCAGACACATCTTTCTCACCTAGGCAGTTGTAGAGGCCCTGGCTGATCCCTGCCAGGATGGCCAGCGTGATGAGGTCACCAAAACTGGCGGCGATGGGTGTGGCTACATTATCAGGGTTGATGCCTGTCTTCTTAGAGCCCACAATTACACCCACCATTATTATACCTGAGAGAGGGCACAAAAAGACATCGGTTACCTTACCCACTAGGAACTGGAGATTCGCAATGTGAAATGTGACTAATAACAAAGAAGATTAATGTCGGATTAAGATATAACAACAACGAGGACATTATTTGTTGTGAAAAGAACGGCTTTAGTAGCTACATATAAGAGTATTAGAGGTTAATCTGAAGTATGTACCCTGCAGCATAGATGCTATGAAGGCTGTAGCGACACTACTGGAACACAGCAAAACAGCGTGACCGATCTGGAACTTTCCCTCAGGAATCCAACCCAGTACAACAGCTGCTACTGCTGCCAGGAACCCGATTACGGTGGCCTGCACCTGAGAATGAGACAGAGACGCGAGATTTATAATAATAAAAAAAATGATATATACACACACACTTATATAGACGTTTATATAGACGTCTTTATACGGGTCTGTGTAAATATACAAACCCATTATCCTGATAAGATCTCGGTTCCTTTTCAGGTAAAAAACTTTAGCGAATTTAGATTTACTGGGTTACTGATGCTAAATTCATTTGCATTTGCTTGTTTTAAAGCCAATGTTGTATATGTAAGCCCTTCAGAAAGCCCTTACCTGTTTCAGTGCCAAATTCCCAATAATGAGATTCCACTTCTCTATGGGTGAGTCCATTTTCCCCACATTTACCTAAGGATGACAAAATTCATGAACATTATTTTTCCTTTCATCCCTCTCACCCTCACTGCATTTAGTCACCCTAACTGTGGTCACAACAATTGCAACTTTTCTTGCACTCCCTAAAGCAAAAACTAAAGGTAAAAAATGTAAAATGTTTGAAATCCCCCAAAATCAGAAGGAGAGAAAAAAGCCTAATTTAGGACCATTAAGACTTTTTGCATTAAGACAATTTTTACATTAGTGAAATAATAATGATATATTATTTAAATTGTAAAATATTTATATAGCAGGATAATATTAGTGTATATAATCATATATCATGATTAATTCATATTAATAAATAGGGAGGATTAATCTTAAATATAATTAGTCTCCTTTCAATCTTTTGACTTTGGTGTAAAATATGTTGTGAACCTAAAAGCTAAAACAAGAAAACCATGATGAGGAAAAAATAACAGTATGAGACCAAATTCCTTCTGAGTGGTGGATTTTGGCATCGGATATTTTACATTGAAAAGAAAACCACCATCTGAGGAAAAGATAATAATATTTTGGGTTTGAAATGGATTTCTGCCTGCAATGTAACAAGATGGCCGACTCCACAACCAATGAGCCAGTGTGTGCGCAAGTGTGTGTGCTTAAGAAAATAAAGGAAACAAATGTAAATGTGAAAGAGCAGCGTGTAGGAGAGAGCCGTGTGAGGGCAATAGACTCTTTTTTTCCCACAGCTGCATGAGGGTGAACAGAAGGCCTGTACTTTAGCCCCGCTCCTCCGCTCGGTCCACACCACCAGGGTTTGTTTATTCTTTCACCTCGAGGGGGGACGACAGATTTGCCATGAGAACACTAGATGTTATACGGCATGAGCTGAAACCCCTCTGAGCTCTAGAGTCCCAGAATGAAAAAAAAAAATGAAAAAAAAACAGTAGCTACCAAAAAAGAAATAAAACCACTCTGTCAGCAGATAACAGCTGAGACTCCAGCATTTAGGAGAAAAGAGCAGGAGAAAAGGGCAGGAGAGCATCAGTTGATGAATTAGCTTATGTAAGCAACATATATATATATACTTTTCCTTAGACTCAGGTATATCTATATATCTAAGGAAAAGTACAGAAAATGTTGGTCAACTCGAAATGGCTCTTTTAACTTCTGTAGTGCGAACAAAGTAATTACTACCAGCAACAGATGATGCTGATCATGGCAAAAAATATCACTGAAAGTGACAAAAATTCCCCCAAAACTCAGCATGTTGAAGCAAAAATGGTGCTGTAATTAATTTAAAAATGTTTATTCTATAATCGTATTATTAACTTAATTTTTGATTAATTGATTAATTCATTAATTATATAATGTTGTTTTAGTGTCATTGAGATACTATTATAAATTTTATTAATATTTTGAATATAAATATATTTTTAAATATATGTATAAAGTTTTTATTAATTTGTATTTCAGTTTTTGTTATTTTAATACATCAAGATAAACTAAATTAAAATGATAAATGTTGTCTTGACTTAGCAACTAGCTGAAATAAAATAAGATACAAAAAATGATATTTAATTTTATTTTATTATTTCAAGCAACAAAAAAAAGTTGGTTTTAATTTTGGTTAACTATATAATAAACCTGATATATATATAGATATATATTAGTGCATTAGTGCACTAATATATACACTAGTGCTGTCAAATCGATTAATCGTGATTAATCACATCTAACAAGTGTGTACACACTTTTGTTAGATGTGATTAATCACGATTAATCGATTTGACAGCACTAATATATATATATATATATATATATATATATATATATATTTACAAACTTTTGTTAGATGCAATACATATAATGCGATATATATAATATAATTAATGTGTGTTTTTCTTACTCAGACATATGGGGGTTGGAAATACCTATGGAGTCATTACCATAATAACAGGCTAGCTAGTCACTCTATCACAGGTCTATGTTTTTTACCACCAGCCCTAATCTATGGAGATGGGCACAGGCATGAATTGTCAGGTCCTGACAGGTGAGAACATGCCCAAAATGAGCCCAGATCTCATCACAAACCACATCATCATCAAATCAGAAATTACAGGCACACCTAAACTAAAGCAAGATGCAATGACGTGCAAACTGTAGTTGGTTTGTTAGTTAGTTTGGATACTAACCGCTGTGGACAGTCTGGAAGCGAGGGTCATCTCCAGATTTCCTTTCAAACCCAAAAGAGCAGGAACCAGGATGAAAATCTCTGTAATGTTCTTAAACGCTTCCCAATGCTGAGGGAAAAAAAGAGAGGATAGACTATAGCAGTGGTTCTCAACGAGGGGCCCCGGGTCCTTTAGCAAACTTGCAAAAATTATTTATAGTTATATTTACATAAACTTAATTCATTAAACCAGAGGTACATATCAGCTTAGACAGGAGGGCCTTCAAATATTGCCTTGAACAATGGGGGACCTTGGAGCCAGTAGAGTACAATGTGATTTTCAACCACAATGCCTTTCTTTATATGGACAAAAACAGTTGAAACATTGCTCAAAATATATTCTTTTGCTACAGAAAGTCATACGGGTGAGTAAATCTCACCTGTACTATATCCAGTACCACTCCGGCTGACACCGTCCCAAACCCAGCTAGAAGGAAGGGAACTAGTATCTGCAGTGCCATGGCCAGGGGCGACTCTTTGGGCATGTTTCTGGTTGCCAGCTGCTGCCCTTCCTCCTCGCTCTCCTCTTCCTCGTCGGCCTCTTCTCCCGAAAGTCTGCCCTCAGGCAAGATGGGCTCCGTCTCCGCATAGCGCCCGTCTCCGGCATCAGACAGGCTGATGGATGTTCTGCTGCTGCGGTCCGAGTGGCGGCGGGGCTCGCGGTGGAACCCGTTTTTGAGGGACTCTGGCTTGGGCGTGCTGAGGTCCACCATGGCCAGCCGTTCCTCCTGTAAAGCGGTGTAACCGGCAGGTACCATGGTCTGAAGCAAGGAGGGAATGGGTCTAAAAGAGATGGAGCTCCAGGGTGCTCCAGCCTGTACTGCCAGACTAGGGCCCAGGGAACTGAGCACACCACCTCCTATGGTTCGGAGGCTCATTCTGCAGACGGGAGCTGACTGGGCTCATGGCCTTCTGAACTTTGAGAGCGGTAGATCAGCAGAACCAGCAGGTGGCATCCATAACAGCTACGAAGAAGCCCAGATAGTGTCGCAGTGACCTGATGAAGAAAAGTACAGAGGGAACATCCATCAACAACAAAAGTGTACTTGCACAGTCACACACATTCAAGGTCACATTATCATTATGTGCTTTAGTCTCGGGGCAGTTGTTATTTGATCTATGCTGAATTGGCAGTCACAATGTTTAGTACACAGTCTGAGTACACCATACTTGGAAGTTGGAACCAACTTTTAAACCACTTTAGTATTAATTTTACATGGGGGGAAAAACTCCTTTATTATTTGTACAGGAGTCTAGTTATTGTATGACATATTCTTATTAGAGTCAACAAAGAGGAATTTGACATAAAAAAGTAATAAATAAAACATATGTAAGAAGATGCAATAGTTATAACACAGACAAAACAACAAACAACACACATTGCACAGAAGATGTTTGTAAACAAAGTCAATTAAACAATGCTTGTTCTCAGAACTTCGAAAAATGTAAGGAAATAAACAAATGCATAACTGTAATGTCGTTCTCAGAACAACACTTTATCATGACTGTAAGTAACTACATATAATTGATTTATATTATTGGATATTTAAATATATGTGATGCAGTGGCAGGGAGCGGACAAGCTGCATTTCCTCCCAGACAAACTAAGAATATATGCCTAATTTTAGAAGTGTAAATGGTTTACAGTTATCAAAAAATACTCAATTGTATGTCTTAACCTTTATGTAGGTGAATTGTGTATTGGAATCATCCCGAAACATCTTTAAAAATATTGTCCAGCTGCCCAATGCTGGTAAACATTCATAATTAATCATTTAAACTCCGAAGGCTGTCAAATTAAACCAGAGCTTTACTTAATGTGTGGTAGATGTTTTAATCTCTCTGGAGGTTGAAAAGATTATAATGAATATATTTACCGTAATATTTCAAGCTCCGTCGAGATCAGTTTCAGCTTCTTCCCGGATTACAGGACTGGAGCTCTGAGACTGTGACAGACAGCGGCGCGTCACCACTGCCGTGCACTGCGACAGACGCAGGAGCGAGCGCGCATTTCAAAATAAAAGCACAGGGGCCCGTGCAACAAATCGGTGTTTCTTCAACTATGGGCTTAAAACCCATTTCTACTTTCTACAATTGTTTTTGTTACATTAACGTCACATTAACACTATCTTAGACGCTTTTCCCCCCTTTTTCTTTTTGCCATGTATTGCATTCGCAGACAGAAGGGAAATGTTGTCAAACAAGCATGACAGCTTAAATTCCTGTGAGGGAATGCAGATTTTCTAGATAGATAGTATATATATATATATACGTCTATATACTTCTCAAATTCGGCATATATTCTTTAGAAAACATCCTAGCAATTTATACAATTATTTTATTTTATTAACTTAACTTAATTAAGTTGCAATACTTGAATATGCTATTTTATTGTATGTAAACACTTAAGTGTTGAAACTCAATATTTACGAATAGTGTACGTAATATTATTGGGGTTGTAATCTTTGAATATGCTATTTTTTTTATTTCAAAATAAAATACATGTAAACACTTAAAGTGTTGAAACTCAAATACGTAATATTAGTTGAGGTTCAACACTAAAATGTTTACAATTATTTTATTTTATTAACTTAACTTCCACAGTCCTGTCTTTTAACGTACGTCCGAAACTCTAGAGGGCGCCAACAGTGTCTCGACCCTTCAACGCGGAAGTTATTATGTTGTGTAAATACCTCTATGGTAAACACCTACGCATGTGGATAGGACTGCGTTTGGGTTTGTACATGTGAGGAGCAAGCCATGGCTCAAACACAAAACATTATCAAGAAAACCTCTTCTAGAGACTTGTTGACCTGTGGCAACGGAAAAGGTGAGGCATTGTTTGAAAAAATAATTTTGATTTCAGGTTTTTAACCTGTTTACAGCCTATCAGTTGAATCCAGAAACTCGGTTCAGATGTGATCCGATTAGCATTTGTGATTAGATAAACCGTTATTAAATGTCAGCTATAAATTATGGGTGATTTTTCCATGTTGACGTGACTATTTTAAATCTTGAAGAATTAAACTTTTTAAAACAGTTGAAATCATCTAAACAAGTATGTGTGTGTGTGTGTATATATATATATATATATATACACACACACACATATATATATGTAAATGCATATATAGATAGATAGATAGATAGATACACATCATATTGTTGATAACTTTGTTGTCTCCAGGAATCCATGAGAAACTTCTGTTGAGCTCTAAAAGTGCTTCGCTCCAGACAGAAAGGGTCTCGAGAAGTAGTGGTGAGTATGTTCATGTCTTCAATTGTATTTGCAGGTTATACATTTGGATTGTTATTTATAATGGATAACTGCTATATTCTATTCCTTATATTTATTGTGTTTCTGTGCATTAGTCTTGGATAAATTGGAGAGTTTCCTTCCCCAAATGGCCCAGGCCAATGAGTCCCTAAGACATCAGATGGACGAGGCTCCCACTGGTTTCTTTGACATCGAGTGTGTGGAGAACGCAGAGAAAGTCATTGAGATGGTGCGTCTGGTCTCACTACCAGCTGTAGTTCATCATTAAGTGTCTAAATGTAACAATATTTAATTTCTTCCATAATAACCGGGTGTGTTTGCCCTGCAGGATGTGGCTCTGGTTGAGCTTGAGGAATCAGACAGCAGCGAAGAGTCGTCATCATCATCATCTTCATCATCATCTGAGGAAGACAGCTCAGAGGAAGAGGTGCAAACTGTCACTGCAAAGACACTCAAACTTCCAGGAGACAGAAAGAAAAAGGCCAACATACAGGTGTTGGAGAAAGAGGCCAAGTGAGAGAGCACATACTGTCCACTGGAACTCTGGGAGACTCAAGCCAGGACATTTCTGTGCCTATGGATAAAATGCATGACCATATCAAGTCTGTTTTTGTTTGGGATGAGCACAGACCAGTGATTTTATGTCCTGTTGAGCTGGCAAACTCATATGAGGAACATTTCATTTAATTTTGGAGATGTTTTATCAAGGGGAGGGACTACAGTCTCAGTTGAATATACTTGAACAAAATTATGCATTACCTATACAAAGTAAAAGTTCTGTTTCATTCAAAATAATCTTAAAACCACAAAGTTTTGCAATTTCCGCTCTTTATTGTAAACAGGGTTTCCCAACGCTCCTTTAATATAGTTTGTAGTTGATGTAAAGTTAAAACACTTGTTTATGTTTGACAATATGACACATCCTGTGTGATTGACAGCTTATACAGAATCGAAATACTCCTATTAACATCTGCACATGATTACATTTCATCTTTTGTCAAATGCATGTCATTGTGTGAAGTGTTGCATAACAAAAGCATCATGAACCTTCAGCGAACACTTGGCAACAGATATGGTCAAATAATTCACATTGTACTGAATTCAAGAGTATAAGTTACATCAAGCATGTCTTATATTTTTTTGTACAAATAAATAACTTCCTCGCAAAGATAACAGCAGTTTACGTTATCCCCTTTCAACATTTCCAATTATCTTGTAGCTGTCTGGAATGCATAATTAAATATATAAAATAAGACAAGTTGTCATATCCTCTAATAAAATATATACAGTTATGCTAATAAAAATGAGTGATGATGTGAAAATGCTACACATATTAAAACCCTTAAGGTTGTACAAATATGGTACAGATATCAAAGTGGCAGTGATGCGACATGGCTTTTAAATATTAGACTATATATAAAACTAAGGACGTGTGTGTGTTTGCAACTGCCTGAATAATAAAAAACGTGATGCTTAATCCACGTTTAAATGTTTGGGGTCAGTAAAAAGAAATGTGTTAATAGAAATAAATACTTCTATTAAGCAAGGATGCATAAAATTATTGAAAAGAGAGTTACAACTTATGTTACAAAAGATTTACTTTCCAAATAAATGCTGTTCTTTTGACATTTCTATTCATTACAGATTTCTGGAAAAAAAAATGTATCCTGGTTTCCATAAAAATATTAAGCAGCACAACTGTTTTTCAGCATTGATAATAAATGTTTCTTGAGCATGAAATCAGTATGTTAGAATGATTTCTGAAAGATTATGTAACACTGAAGACTGTAGTAATGATGCTGAAAATCACAGCAATAAATGACATTTGAACAAATATTCAAATAGAAAAAACTTATTTTAAATTGTAATAATATTTCACAATATTACTGTTTTTACTGTGTTTTTGATCAAATAAATGCAGCCTTGGTGAGCATAAGAGACTTCTTTCAAAAACATAAAATCCCAAACATTTGAACGGTAGTGTAAATGAGCAGTTTGACGAGCGACAGGACATTTTGTGGTTACTTGGTTTCTATTTCTGCGGCAAAACGGCATCGTGCAGCAGTTTCACGTTCAGTGTGGGCAGACAAATTGCTTGTCACTGGCTACATGGTTATGAAACGCTCAAAATCATAATACTATTGTGGTTACTTCCTGAAAATAACTTAATTTGATCATTCACTTGACCTCAGTCAGCATGATACTTCAGTGTCTACTAGATAAAAATAATTCTGTGTCCTTGGGTCCACTTGGAGGTCTTTTGTCTTTCCATTTTTAAAAATGTTGTTCGCCAGTGTAGACTGGCAAGCCAGCATTTGTCCCGCTCCAAACATTCCCAGAAAAAAAGAGTGATGTAAAATGTAGGCACATCAGTGTAGTCACGGCAGGATATGCTCTGGATTTCCTATCAAACCTGCTTCAAGCCAAAGCGAAACACTTCGGGCTGCAGTCACGGGCCATGCAGTCTTTTTACCGTCCCAGGTTTCCTTCAATACTCCACCGTCACAGCTTTAGTCCGCAGGTACTCGTGCAGGGCTTCCTCACCTGGATACACATGCATATGGTCCTCATGTTCATCAATTGATAGAGACAGACTAATAATACAGTGCGTTTTGTTCACTCTTACCAAGGTCTTTCCCAAACCCGGACTGTTTGAAGCCTCCAAAGGGAGCCGCCACGTCGGTCTTGTTGTAGGTGTTGACGAACACGGTTCCCGCCTCCAGTCTCTCGCTCACGTACATGGCCTTGTTGATGTCACGCGTGAAGACTCCAGAGGCCAGACCGAACTCGGTGTCATTTGCTCTGCTCAGAACTCCATCTACATCACTGATGGAGTAAAACAATGGTTTTAGCAGGGATACGCTCTTCTTTAATGATAATATCTGGCACAGTATAATATATGTGCCTAAAGAATGCTGATGTTTTGCTCAAATGTTGTCATAACGAGCTCCTGCCTTGGATTTAGTTCATGTTGCAGGTCAGATAGCCACAAAAAGCCCTACTATAGAGAGAAAAGGGCAGCTTACCCATCTTTGAATTTGGATACCACCATAACAGGGCCAAATGATTCCTCTTTGGCGATGAACATGTGGTCCTCTACGTCTGTGAAGACTGTGGGCTCCATAAAAAAACCTGTAAGCATAAATAGCTCTATATTAGAAATGGAATAATCAGTATTGTTATTATGTTTTTTATGAGTGTAGGTTAAAGTACTGAAGTAAATTACTAACTAAAATAATAAAAGTTACAAAAGCAAATAACAAAATTAATTCACCTTCAAATCTACGAATAAAATCTAATTCAAAATATTAATAAAGTCTATAATAGTATATAAATGATACTAACATAACACTGGGAATAATGCTTATATGATTATACATGACCAAAATTGCTAGATTTATGCCCAAAAAAATATTTACAGAACACATTTCTGTTGACAAACCCTTTTAAAGCATGGGTGTCTGGTTAGATGGGAGGTCTCACCTGGCCTGTCCACCTGTCTCCCACCGCAGACGAGTGTGGCTCCCTCCTTCACGCCGATCTCACAGTACTCCACCAGCTTGTCCAGGTGGGCCTTGTGGTTCTGAGGTCCGTGATCTGTGGAGCGGTCCAAAGGATCTCCGATCTTCATCTTCTTGATTTCCTCGATCTGAACACACAAACACACATTAGACAGTCCTCATCTAGAAGCAGCTCGCATGCTTTAAGATGCAATCCATGCACGAGGGAACACGTACCACTCTCCTGATGTACTCGTCATGGATGGACTCTTCAACAAACAGCCGGCCCGCAGCGATACAGTTCTCTCCTTTGTTGAAGTAAACAGAACTCATCCCCTGCAATGTACACACGAACATGCAGTAAGTTCAAGAGGAGGATCTGGCATTTGCATAGGAGTCAAAACCTGCTACGGGGTAATAATGGAACAACAGTTGAAAAAAGTGATTTTTCACTATTATTTACAACAGGATTTTCATTTTCATGGGTTTAAATAAAATACTTTTGTTATAAGAGACAATAACAACAACTTTGTGCATCAAAACCACTCCTTTCATGGTAAAAAATTTACTTTATTTTTCACGAGTCAACGAATTTGCGTCAGCTGAATGTATCATTTTTGACAAGCCAAACATGTCGGTCTCAAAAAGCACTTTGAACGTTTTATAATTACCCAAAAATCGCATGTTATCCCGTCTGTCAAAAACTTGGTTGGAATATTAGAGCTAAAAACATGGACATAACACACTTAATCACCAATTTTGGCAATAGATGAACTGTTAAATGAGTGATCCCTGTGGTTTGACTCATATGCTGAATATATTTAATAAACTTGACAGGTGATTTTTATAAAATGTAGTTTCATCATTATCAAAGTTGCAAAAAAATGTTGTTTAATTTTCCCATAATTTTTTTTACATGATTTGTTACATTTAATAACCCTTTAGCAGATTTTGACTTGTATTCTGTATTTTCAGGCACTAGCTGTTTTTTCTCACCATTCTCACTGCTTTGTCCATATCGCAGTCACTGAAGATGATGAGGGGAGATTTACCACCCAGCTCCAGAGACACCTTCTTCAAATTACTGACCGCACAGCTGCAACAGGATCGACATCATCAGCTGGAGGCTCTTTCAGAGCACCGTATAAAAGTTTGAACGATTCACTGTCATTGTACATGACTTATTTGAGCAACAGTAACAGACTAATAGATTAGGGTGTTGATTTTAGTGAAATTACACAAATGGGACTCACCTTTTCATGATCTGTTTGCCAATGGGTGTAGAGCCTGTGAAACCGAGCTTACGGATATCAGGATGATCGGACATCCTCTGCCCGACCAGACCACCTAAGAGATGACAGAAATGTCAGTCACAGTAAATACTTCTGAAAAACAAAAAAAATCTTTAGAATCTTCACAGCTCACATAAATTAGATTTTTGCGAGAAAAAAAATGCAATTATTTTCTGTGGTGTTTAGCAACAGGCCACAGAAGATGCTGTTCACAGAGGTTAATTTGTATTGAACCTGGAATATTCCTTTAATGTATTCACCTGATCCTGGAACAATGTTGATAACTCCTTTCGGAATGCCAGCTTTGACTGTCAACTCAGCAAACTTCAGTGCAGTTAGTGGGGTTACCTGGAAAAGTCAAAAGAATATATATCTAGTTTGCATTCAGTAAATTATATATATATATATATACAGTACACACATACATAGTTCTTACAATTTTTCTATAGTTCAATTTATATACATATATACTGTATACGCAGCAGACTTTAGTGCGGTTAACTGGAAATATCAAGAGAATATATCATCTAGTTCGTCATATTTTTTGTAGTTTTTAGAGAAAAAAAGAATTATTCTAAATTAATCATATTTAATATTTTGTACATTTCTTACTATTTTTTTAGATTGTAGATTTTTATTATTTTAATAAATTTAATTGTTAAATTACTTAATTGTGATTCCATGGAATATATATATACCGGTAATACAATTAAGTAATTTAACAATTACATTTATTAAAATAATAAAAATCACACACACACACACACACACACACACACACACACACACACATATATATATATATATATATATATAGCAGCACAACTATTAATAATAATAAATGTTTCTTGAGCAACAAATCAGCATATTAGAATGATATATAAAATCTGAACTATTCATATTTTTGTATATGTGTGTTTGCATGTTTTACCTGAGCAGGTTTTAAGACAAGTGTGTTTCCCGCCGCCAGACAGGCTGCACTCTTCCACGCCAACATCATAAGTGGGTAGTTCCAGGGAATCACTATGGCACACACACTGAGACACACACACACACAAAAAAACGTCATATATTTATGATCATCAAATTCACATAAAAACACACACATTAACACTCACTGACTCACCCCAGAGGCTCTTTCTTTGTAAAGGTGAGGTTGCGATTGGGTCTGGCCTGATTGATGGGTATCGTTGAGCCCTGTGAGGAACAGGATATGATGCGTCAATGACAGGAAATTATTAAATGTATACATTGAAGGCCTGCACAGTGAACACACAGACCTGGATCTTGTCACACCAGCCAGCAAAGTATCTGAAGGTCTGAATGGACATGCCTACGTGTGTTTTCAAGGCCAGGGTATAAACGGCACCCGAGTCAATCGCTTCAATAGTGGCCAACTCCTCCTGGTGTTCCTCCATCAGGTCAGCCACACTGCACACAAAAGATAAAGTATGAAAACTGCCCAACAGGAAGTTCTCTGTGAAATCAATTCTTGCTCAAAAGAAGAGTTGTAATACAACACAATACAATATTACTATTAACTTAGCAAATGTGTTTGGCTTTTCATTCATATGTCAACAAAAGTCTACACAAACTCTCTCCATCTTACCGGTAGAGTAGCCGGCCGCGGTCACGGGGGTTCATTTTACCCCAGGGTCCGTTATAAAAGGCCTCTTTGGCTGCACTAACCGCTCTGTCCACATCTGCCACTGACGCATATGACACCTTGCAGATCACCTGAAAAAACACAACGCAACCATTAGAATAACAGGGGTGTGTTTACATGTTTGTGTGTTTGAGACGACTGAACCCACCGAGCCGTCAGTGGGGTTCACCGTGTTGTATGTCTTTCCATCTTCTGCGTTTTCAAAATTGCCATTAATGAAACACTGATAGGGCATTTTCACAGTCATGTTATTGACATCTTTTGCTGCATAATCGATGACCAGCTCCTCCTCCTGGTCTTCTCCACGCAGGCGTCGGACGAACATCTGGATGAAACTCTGGAAGGTGGTGGCCATGTAGACGTCCTCATTCTGAAGCTGCACTCCTCCGCATTTCTGCTTCACCTCCTCCACCAATCTAAATCAAACAATAACACATACTCAACTTATGTTCATCGAGGTCTCCTTCAACAAAAACAGTTACTGCCTCCTAACAATTAAACAAACTGTTTGTACGACTTTATGTAAATGACCTCTGCCATGACTGGCTAACCTCTTTGCATGTGAAATGAGTTTGAAATATTTTAGTTTCAGTTTTGAGCACTGAATGAACATTGATATGTATATGTGGTTAATGATGTTAATGTGATAATGGCGTCAATATCACAACAGTTTTGATGTTTTTGCCACTTAGTTTCAGAGTTGTTATTGTAAACTAAAACTATTTTAAAAATGGTAATTGAAATAAATGGTCATTGAAATAAAGCTGAAATATAATATAAATTATAGATAGAAAAACTTAAACTTATTTTTTTTAATACTTGCATAAATATAAAAATTAAAGCTAATTGAAAATATTAATAAATACTATAATAGTATATAAATAAATAAGATTAATAAAAATCAATAATACATAAATAAGATAAATAAATGAAGGTCAGACCCACCTGACTACATCCATAGAAGCAGCTCCAGACTTAAAGAAATCGGTAGTTTCGTCAATACCTGGAACATTACTCAGAATACCCTTCCATATCGCCTAGACAAGTATGAAACAAAAGACAAATGGCATCATTGCTCAAATATATATCTAAAATGCATTTTGAGGCCTACACATACCCTGATCTCCTCTGCCATTTCCTTCTCATCGTCTGTGAGATCCAAACTGGCGGTCTCCTCTGATGAGAAGTATTTGGATGCAGGAATCATCTTTCCATCCTCAAACTGCAGGTTCTTCACCTGAAGCTGCACAGTGATATTATATTAAAGCAATTCACAACGTTGGATTTCGGGATCACACACATTCATTATTTTTGCAGTCTAAATTGCTAAAAATTCAAGATCTAATCGAATACCAAATTGCAGTATTCATGTTCAAAGCAAGAAATAGCCTATTGCCTGGGAATATACAAAAGATGTTTTCTGAGAGGGAGGGAGAGTACAATTTAAGAGGAAGGGGAAATTTTAACAACAAGGAAAAGATTATGTTTATCAATTTGCGGGGTACAATTGTGGAATAAACTAAATGATAAACTAAAGCAATGCTCAAACATACTCCTATTTAAAATAATGTACAGGGAAATTATCTTCAAGAGGTATCAAGAAGCACTGTAGTGAAAGTAGGAGTGCTTCATTGTTTATGTTGTTTTTCTTTGTTTGCTTTGTTATTTTTGGTCGTATTTTTTTGCTGCTTGAATAAGTACATAATTGAGGTTAGATAAATAAATACTTGTCAGTGGTCACAATGATGTGTATGTGGGTATGCATGTGTATGTATGCGTGTATGTGTATGTATATGTGTGCATATGTATGTGTATGTATATATATGTATATATATATGAACAATATGATAATAATAATATAAAATTGTAAATTGAATGACTGTGTGAATTAAGGGGGTAGGAGTATATAAGTTTTACTTCTTCCTACTCCTTTTCGCACATGTAATAGAAGTATGTCAACAGGAAAGAAGTATATATATTTTTTTGCTGCTCATTTGTTTTGTTTTTTTTCTCCTATGTTTTTAAACATTGTTTTATATTTTTATATACTTTCTTTTCCATGTTCGAAATAAAGATTTCAAATTCAAATTAATAATCTTCATGATGAATTTGTAGCACAGATATAATGCATTAAAAGCTTAGAAGCTAAGTAAATAAAACAATAGAAACTAACCGCTTTTCCATCAGACCCGAAAAGAACAATCCCAGATTTGGCAATGAGCCCAGGCTGAGACGCCCCCTCCACCTCTATTGGCTGACCTGCAGGCAACGACCCGCTCAGCATCGATGAGCTGTACAGCGTTACCGGCTACAGAACAAAACACACACACACACTCATTACTATCCAGTAAAAACATCATCCACTTAGCATCTTATAGTAGGATCATCAGACTTAGTCTTGAGATTTCCTATGAGCGAGACTTCAGATTCATTTTATTCATTATTCAAAGTGCACTGCCTATAGTGCTCTGTTCAAGAATCATTCAAACGAAATGTGTGTTTAGAAAACGCACCTTTCCATCAATGACAACCCAGGCACCCGGAACTTTATCATGACCACGGATCCAGTTATGGATGGCCTCTGCCGGCTGAGCCATATTCACCTGGAGAAAGAGAGGCAGATCATGACGGATAAACTGGTGTTCACTTCCTGAACCTTTGGAGCCCTAAAAAACACAGCTTAATTACATTTAGCCTGATTTACATAATTGTTTTTGTGTGTCACCTTAGCATTGGATTTCTTTTGGATTCCTTCATAGCTGGCTCCTTCTTCAGACTGAGGGATCTTGGGAGCTTTGCCATCTGCAATGAGCTGTACAGCTTCTACCTGTTGGAACACACATTTTTAAGCAAACTCAGATTCAAAATCTAATGTTTAGCTTGCATAAAACAGGTCATAATGTTTTCTTGATAGTTACCATGGCCTTGATGCCTTCTGGAAACAGGAAGCGGTTATAAAGTGTATCCACTGTATCGTTGGGCTCTACTGGACATTCCTTCTGCAGTAGGACGGGGCCAGTGTCCAAACCATCATCAGCCCAGAATATACTAAATCCTGCTTTCTTATCACCCTCGATTAGTGTCCTGCATACAGGAATGCAACCCTTAAATGCCATCATCTTTTACCATCATCACTGTCATCATCAGAGATAATTTATATATATATATATATTGTTGATAATAAATAGATTGAGGAATACTACTAAGAAGGTTGATGTCTAACTTTAAAAAAATAATTTGAAGGGGATAAAGATATAAAGTCCATATAAAGATCTCAGAGTGAAACTTTAGTAACATCTCACCAGTTGATGGCTGAGGCTCCTCTGTGTCTGGGCAGGATGGAGGGGTGGTAAATGATGGATCCATGTTTGGGGAAGTCGATCACATTCATAGGAATGAACTGGGAGCAGAAGGGCATGACGTTCAGCTCGGCGCCCACAGCTTTGTACGCCTCCACCACCTCTGGGATGGGTTTACCCTTCACCCGCCACCGTGGGAACTTAAACACCGGCGTCCCGTCCTTCTCCGCCACCGCCGCTGAAGGTCAGAGAGAGATTGGTCCTGAAAGGTTATATAAGCTCTCTGAAATAAAACCAGGTCGCACCTGGCATATTCAGACTTTAGCCAACTTCAATGAACAAAGAGCCAGAGCAAAATATAGGTAGCACTTTATTTTACAGTCCTGTTCCCATATATACATACAATGTACTTATAGTTATTACAACAACTGGGTAATAACTAGGTACCTATCCTTAATTCATGTAGTTACCTTATATTAACCAGTACTTTCTTAGGTAATTACACTGTAACTACACGTAAGTGCACGTACTGTAAAGTAAAGTGCAACCAAAATATATATATATTCAATATCATGCATACTTGAGTAACGGACCTTGTCCTTTATATCTGAATCTTTAAATGTATCAGTCATAAACAGTTATAACTTTAAAAGTCTAAGTTATGACGTGGGTACTTTTCACCATCTGAATATGGTTATTAAAATGGTAATCAGCATATTACATGTGTACCATTAGAGATTACTAATAATAAAAATAATCATAATATATATAAATGGAGTTTGTGTTTCCTGGTTTCATCCACCTAAATTTACTCTACCTTTATTACAAAAAAACAGTGACATAGGCCCCTTTTTCTTTTTTTTTCTTTTTTGAATTGACAGTGTAATCCTGCAAATATAAACAATTTTCTACAGTCAAACAGCATAAAGCAAATAGAACATATATAAAGTGCATAAAATAAACAAATTATATATATATATATATATATATATATATATATATATATACACTCACCGGCCACTTTATTAGGTACACCTGTCCAACTGCTCGTTAACACTTAATTTCTAAGCAGCCAATCACATGGCGGCAACTCAGTGCATTTAGGCATGTAGACATGGTCAAGACAATCTCCTGCAGTTCAAACCGAGCATCAGTATGGGGAAGAAAGTTGATTTGAGTGACTTTGAACGTGGCATGATTGTTGGTGCCAGAAGGGCCGGTCTGAGTATTTCAGAAACTGCTAATCTACTGGGATTTTCACGCACAACCATCTCTAGGGTTTACAGAGAATGGTCCGAAAAAGAAAAAACATCCAGTGAGCGGCAGTTCTGTGGGCGGAAATGCCTTGTTGATGCCAGAGGTCAGAGGAGAATGGCCAGACTGGTTCGAGCTGATAGAAGGGCAACAGTGACTGAAATAACCACTCGTTACAACCGAGGTATGCAGCAAAGCATTTGTGAAGCCACAACACGCACAACCTTGAGGCGGATGGGCTACAACAGCAGAAGACTCCACCGGGTACCACTCATCTCCACTACAAATAGGAAAAAGAGGCTACAATTTGCAAGAGCTCACCAAAATTGAACAGTTGAAGACTGGAAAAATGTTGCCTGGTCTGATGAATCTCGATTTCTGTTGAGACATTCAGATGTTAGAGTCAGAATTTGGCGTAAACAGAATGAGAACATGGAACCATCATGCCTTGTTACCACTGTGCAGGCTGGTGGTGGTGGTGTAATGGTGTGGGGGATGTTTTCCTGGCACACTTTAGGCCCCTTAGTGCCAATTGGGCATCGTTTAAATGCCACGGCCTACCTGAGCATTGTTTCTGACCATGTCCATCCCTTTATGGCCACCATGTACCCATCCTCTGATGGCTACTTCCACCATGTCACAAAGCTCTAATCATTTCAAATTGGTTTCTTGAACATGACAATGAGTTCACTGTACTAAAATGGCCTCCACAGTCACCAGATCTCAACCCAATAGAGCATCTTTGGGATGTGGTGGAACGGGAGATTCGCATCATGGATGTGCAGCCGACAAATCTGCGGCAACTGTGTGATGCCATCATGTCAATATGGACCAAACTCCCTGAGGAATGCTTCCAGCACCTTGTTGAATCTATGCCACGAAGAATTGAGGCAGTTCTGAAGGCAAAAGGGGGTCCAACCCGTTACTAGCATGGGGTACCTAATAAAGTGGCCGGTGAGTGTATATATATACAGTATATATATATATACACACACACACACACAAAATTATATATTTTTTGTAATAACTCAACATACAATGGCACATTGATGTAATGAGTGATCTGTTATTCATACAAACTCTGCTCTCACATAGATCACAAATGCTCCGATCACTGGTGGACTTTTCACCTCAAATGGTTTCACACCACTATTCACCAAAACAATGCAATCATTATGCGGGATGTACTTCTCCTCTGACCCTGCGCCTCACACAAACATAAACACTCAGTTTTGAACCAATGTGCTGCTCAGGAATTCAATGTTGTGACTGAAGGAGGGACACTGGTGTTCAGCCTCACTTCCTGTTAGAGTTCATTACTACAATGATGGCCTTAATGTAATCCACAAACCTGAAAATTTTGATTAGAGGGATTCATCTTTCACTTCAACTTCTGTGGCACTTAAAATTAAGGTCCACAACATTTCCACACATGTAGCTGCAAACTGCAAATGTGGCGTCCCAGCCCCCATGACACACTACAAAAAACTGTTCAGAGCTCCAATCTATCCCACCCCCACCCATCTGACACTTACCCAGGGGGTCCGCCTTGCCGTCCTTATCAGGAACTGTGAATACGCCCACCACTTTATGGCCCTGCTTGCGGAGGTTTGTGTACACTTCCTGTCCAAACAAGCTCTGGCCAATCAGGGCCAACTTCAGCTTATTTTGGTAGTAAGCCTGTGTGAAAGAGTATTTAAATGTTAAAACATCAAAACAAGCACACCAGACAAAACTTTATGGTTTAACGTAAACTGTGTGTCACCAACATTAAAATATGAAACATAATCAGTCCTATATGGGCCCTTTGTTCTCTAAAACTAACCGCTGCTCTGACCTCCTATTAGTAGTTCATTCACTGTCTGTACAACAAAATGTGTATTATGGGTCAATGACAATGTCCAAGATGATAAAAAGGAGGACAAATGGTTTTAAACTGTAAATAATCTGCATTATTATTATTATTATTAATATTTTATTACTAAAAATGAGTGCATAATTGATCCAAATATCTCGCTGAAAGTCTATTTTATTTACTTCTATTCCATTTTATACTATTATTAATTTTATTTTTTTATTTTAAATCACAATTTTTGCTTTGTGTGTACATATACTGCTGCTTTGGCAATGTTGTTAGCAAAACAATCATGTCAATAAAGTAATTTGAAATGGTAATTTCAACAGTGCTGCACAATGGGTCTAAAAATGAAGATCTACTGGAGACATAAACAGCTCAAGCATTGCCTACAAACAAACAGGTATTGAAGTTGTTTGCTTGTAAATGTTATTATTACTCGTTTTATTAATGCTTGCAACATGTTTATCTATCAGTGCACATGTGATTTGAAGTTGTTGAATAGTTTGTGTTCTAGTAATAGTGACATTAGTAATATGATCTGCCCTCATATTCTCGACCCCCTGCTGATGCAACTCGCCACGGATCTGTCCACTAGAAGTAGCCTAATCCGACCAAGCAACGTGGCAAAAACGGGATCCCAAACCGGTTTAACAGTATAAAATACTATATCTAATTAACATGCATATAGTATGCATATATCGCGAATTAATTTACAAGTATGAAACCTACAACATTGCACTAAGAGTCTAAGACACCGGGTTACTTATATCAGCTGACAGCATGCTTACAATAACTGTACATGGGTAACCCCTGTTTAATAATGTTATTTAAGAGGTCACCATCATATATTAACTTGTTTAAAGGGTGTATGCATGTGTCTACCTTCACATTTTCACGTATGAGTTTATTCATTCATTCAAATCTTTTGCAAACCCAACAATGCAGAAGATGCGGTTACTCACAGAGCTCGAGGAGAATTTCCTCATGATCGTGTTCGCCGTCCACAACATGGTAAAAAAAATGCTATAAACACTAAAAGAAAGATCACGATTAAAGTCCGGGGAGGTGGGCTGGGAACATGCGGTACTGTAAACGCACACCTGCGGTTCGCTGACTGACTGTGGTCAGTGTGTGGCTGTAGCAGCAGACTGACCCGACGCGCAAGCGAGTTCAGTGCGTGCGCGCTCCCGGTCCATGCGTCACGGCGGCTATTTATTTAGACAGATGCGCGTACCCGCCTGAGCGTAGTTGTTATTAGAGGCAAAACCCAAATTTACAAGAATTGCTTCTTTTTAAATACATTTTTTTTTTCTAGTTTGGTCTTTACCTCAAGGCAGAGGTGTAAAGAGTACCTGAAAACCATACTTTAGTAAAAGTGCAGATAGCCTACCTTACAGTGAAAATGGCTCCATTACAGGTTACAAGTCTCCAATTCCAATGAGTAATAGTTTTAGCCCTGGATTTACAGACAAGGCATTGATTAAGCCAAGCCTTAGTTCAATTATGACATTTAAGTAGCTTTTATAAATGTGGCTTAGACAAAAAAAAACAGTAGGCCTACTGGTGTGCATCTTGAGACAAAACAGGAATGGCACTGACATATTTTAACAGTCAGTGCAAGTTGCTTTCCGTTAAACCAGTTCAAACATGCATTTTAGTCTGGGGCTAGGCTTAAACCTTGTCTGTGAAACCGGGCATTAGATTATCTGATGTGAACAGTACTTAAGTATGTTTTTTTTTTACTTAAACTAAATGTAGGCTCAAAGATGCACAAGTCCTCAACTCCCAGGAGACATGCCAGTGAAAGACAAGAAACAGGTGATTTGTCAGGAGAGCAATCACACGTTTATTTTCAAAATCAAAATATAATTGAACACCTCAATATTGCAATAAATCAAGGTAAACACAACAGGCTCTTAAACACAAACACTCAAGTCTCAGTTAAGCTCAAGTTCTCAAAACAGGCATAGTAAACGATATCCTTCATAAAGGTCTCTTCAATATAACGGATAATTAAAATAATGTTTAGTAAAATTAAACTACTTGCACTGGATGTGCTGGTTTCGGCCTCATCTCATATATGAAGCTAATGTAGCCTTGTTGACAAGTTTGGGTGAACAAGAGGCAAAACATACAAGATATAGTACCTTCTAAGCCATGTTGATGGTGCAATCGCTTCTTTTGTGGCAGAAATAAACTGCTGCTGAAAAAGGATAGGTGCCATGCAAAATGTAACGAGTAATTGCAAATTGGAGTAAAAAGTACATATACTCCTTCAAAAATGTAGTCAAGTAGAGTAAAAGTTGCTTGTATCTTTGATACTCAGTCGAATTACAAAGTACAAAGATACTTAAGTACAGTAACTATTTACTCAAATGCTTTACACCACTGCCTCACGGTCAGTTATTTGGCTCTAGAGGAATGCTGCAAATAGTTCTAAATAAATAGTTTTATTTCAGTTTATTTTTCCATGACAGATATCAAGCTGGTCATGACCTGCCTGTCACCTTTGATGGACAGAAACAATTGTTCTGATGTGTGTTTTGGCACTCAAGGCACTAAAACCACAGTTTTGTAACAAGATGAAAAAGTAGTTTAATATGAGCCTTTGAGATCTTTCATCTTTTTCAACCTCAAATGTTTATCGTTCACCCAGTAATGTCTCCAGCAGACCCTGTAATTTTCTTTCGATTAGCGGTTCACACGTACAACATTAGCCTGTAAGAAATGCCTTGTTATAGATGTCTGTTGTGTTTGACAACTCAGTTTCAGCCGTTTAATGTAATAAAATATGTTGTGCTTTTTTAAAATGATGACAAAATAAGAGCAAATGCATTAGGGAACCAGGAGGTTTATTTTTTGTGCACAATATAACATAATTTTAAAGTTCAAACGATAATAAAAAGTGTCCTAATAATAAAGCACTGCTGGTGGATTTCACGAAGGGGACTTCAACTCTCTACTCATTCTGTGAGGTCAGTTTGAATCAATTCAATTATCTAGTTTGGCATGACTGAACTGGCTGAAACATTGGCCAACAAAGAACACATAAGGGTGGACGGTGGTGTGGATTTGAATCTCAGGTTTAACAGCTTGATCATGAATAATCACTAAAGCTCTCCTCATTGGAAACAGCTGTAAAAGCCTAACTCTATTAGCACCTGCAGTCTCCTTGCAGACTGGATAAGATGTCATACATCTTTGTTCACTTAACACTGGACACTTAATCAAACAGTGAGAGAGGTAAGCAGGAAAACCACTTTTTTTGTCTTAAAGGTACAAAAACAAAGTGCATCCTCAGAGCATGCATGCAGTAGGGATCCCTCAATTTGGGTTTAACATCCAAAAATATTACAAAAATCGTATGCGCTATCCCACAAATCCCTGCTGCAACAGTAGGACAGCAGTTGAAGAGATCACAGAAAACGGATGCCTGCTCCAAACTGAACACCGTCACATATCCTGTCAGGGAACAAAAAATGATTTAAGATTTAAATCAGTGGTTACAATGCTGTATAATAATAATAATATTCAGACCACTTCTATTATTATTTGCTATCAGTATGTGAAGAGAGTTTCAACCAGTATAACAAAAAGTGTTTATGAAAAGCATTGCCTACCCTACCTTTATGCATAAATAGGGTTCAGTGGATGTGTATATGTACCTGTCTCCGCTTTGAACACCCATGGGGAAGCAGTAATTGAGTTCAAGCCTAGCAATGTTTCCCAGGCGTAGAATTATACCAGCGCCGTAAGACCAACGGATACACTCCGCTAACTTCTGCAGATGTGCACGTGGTCCCTCTCCTACACAAACACAGTGCAGAATTACAGGCTCACACTACTGTGAAGGGATAAACAGCTTGATTTACACCACATGAAGGTTTCATAATACTCTGCCCACTGTAGTCTCTAACTTGAAAGTGTCATCCTGAAGTTTCATTGGAACATTAGCATCACCATGTGGACAAAAGGCTTCAATGCATATATTCATTCAATGACTATAAAACAGTGTTATTTTAGAAACTATTAATAGTAATAGTTTTTATTAATATTCTGATTTTTTTAAAATATTTTTTATTTTTCATTTTAGTTAACAATAATAGCCCTGCAACAGACAACTGCACTTCCTTGGAAAAAACTAATCAAATTTTTCTGAGACTACTGACCGTAGTTGAGGTTGCAAAGGTTTCCAGCATTAAGGAAGAAGTGTGTTCTGAAGAGGTCAGCCAGACCGCCCTTGTTTGAGCGGAAGGGGAGGGGTGTGTAAAGGTGAAGCCCACCAGCCCAATACGCTTCCCCACCCAGATAATCACCTGATCAGGTAAGATATCAAAGGAAAAAGATCGGAAGGTGTGCTGTGATCATACCCTATATATATATACACACATACATACATACATACATACACACACACACACATACGCCTGTACCTTCACTCTGAGGTCCTATACTGTACATGCCGAAACCTCTGACACTGGTTGGGCCGCCCAGGTAGAACCTGACAGAAAACACACATGCACAATGTAATTTGACTGAAGTTTATATTAATAAGAGAGGTGTTGTGTTTTTGAACATTCAAGCATAAAAACCTATTCTAGTAGATCCTAAAAACAAAATCAAGACTTTGAAAAAGGGCATAATTTGGCCTCTTTAATTCAGTGTCTAAATTAGTCTAAACATGTCTTTTCTGAATGCCTTTTTAATTGAGCAGTGTGGATTTATCATTATAAAATGTTTCTTTAAACAATACAAGATGGTTTTTATTAGCACATAATTATAAATTTATAAGCAATTATAACTATAAAACCTTTCAAGGAACAATGGAGCAACCACCTAAAAGCAAGCAAACAAACACACACACACCTGTCAGCAATAGAGGCAGGCTGACGCCCAAGAGGAAAGAGCATCCCACCCCATAAAGATGCGGATAACACCTATAAGAGAAAATCATTAGAGCTACTTAATAATACTAATGTCCAAATATCACAAATGTCCTTTAAAAAGAGACTTTTATAGCAACTTTCTAAGGCAGTTAGAGCATGATAAACAATGGCAAAACCAGAAATATCTATAACAATATACGTGAATGAAGACCACACGCACCGATCCCCAGATAAATGGTTTGTTAAGCTGCAGCTCAACGTCCTCTTTGAGAAAGCTGGCATCTCCTCCGGTGTATCCTGCCAGCTCCTAAACCAACAGAGCCAACACAACTATTGTCCAGACAGTTTTAATCAGTGATGGACATTGTGAGGCAAACTAACGGTGAGCAAAGAAATACAAAACAGCTAGTGATAAGTTCTGGGCTGATGTTCAAGTTCACACACCTGGTTGAGCCGCAGTAAGGCACCTCTTCGGGGCAGGATGGCAGAGTTCCTGGTGTCTACTACCATGGTGTGCTTGTAAGAGACAAGAAATCCATGAAATCAGTCTGAAAGCATGGAGGCGAAACTTCAACGCAACAGAGCAGAGCTTACAGAAAGGGCGGATTTAAGAGTGTGTCCGCTCTCCTCTCTCACTGCAAAGGAGGCGCTGCGGGCCAGACATCCCAGCTCACGCCACACACCCTCCCACTTCAGAGTGTGATCCGTCATCCACAGAGGGAACTGCAAGACACATATCGCATTATATCTTTCTTTATTAAGTACAACCAATGGCCTAAAATCACATCACATTTAATAGCTTACACTGAGCTCTGTAGAAACTCCCCTGTCCGTCTCTTTTAGAGAGCTCCACGGGAACTGGCCGGTGACTTTGTACAGGTTTAGAGTGAAGCTACACAAAGCAAATAAGCCAACGTTATTCAATATCTTGGATCTTAACATCGAAGAAAAGTGACACACTTCATCTTTAAAGTTTTACGTTGTTTGCAGAAAACATACTTGCGTTCATAATATCCCGACTGTGGTTTAAAGAAGGACAGGCCGTAGGACGTCTCCTTAGTTCCATAGGAAAACTGAAAGGTGAGCTTCTCTCCTCGGCCAATCATATTTGGAAGTTTAATACCCAAGACCTTTAGAGGTACAAACACACAAATGCAGTAACACAATGAAACTACACAGAAAATCTAAGAAAGAGTGATAATTGGTGCTGTCAAATTGATTAATTGCGATATATATATATATATATATATATATGTGTGTGTGTATGTATCTATACATTTACAAACTTTTATGTTAGATGCAATTAATCGTGATAAATCGATTTGACAGCACTAGTGATAATAGCAATACTCACACTGACTGTAAATGTTATTATTAATATTATTATTCATATTAAATATTATTCTATTCATAGCATGAAAGAAAATCTTATTTGAGAGTAAAAGTGCCATTTTAGTACTTTGTATATACCAATATAGTTTATTCATATTTTGAATTAGCTTCTTTTAATATATATTTTCAGTTTTCATTTTAAATTTCGTGATTCTTATTTGTTTTTAATATTTCTGTCTGGCTCTCTTTTATATGAAATTATATAATTTCAGTTTTATTTTTGTCATTCTAGCACTTAAACTTATTAATTTATTTCAGTTTTCAAGTTTGTTTGTCATCCACTATTTATATTTTACTTTATTTTAGCTTTTCTTCAGTTACCGAAAACAACAATGGTCAAAAAGATGATTGACAGGACATTTCACACATCACTTTGATACTATTTCTGCAGTGGTGCAATGTGTAGCCACGGCCACAGTAAAATCTCATTGGTCCAAAATCCCATCCATATCACATATGTTATAATTGACTGTTGGTCATACAGTATTTTTTATTTCAGTGTGGACAGACGTCACACCTGGGGTTAGGATGCAAAGTAATTTCTGTGTGTATAATGGTTCTTACCATACTGCCTTCATTGTTTCCAACCATGGTATTATAACTGCCTGTAAGTCGTTTAAGCTCAGTAACCTCAAATGTAACATCAAGTCCATTTGGCAGAGCATTGGCTCCTAAAGAGGAGATCAGAAAGACAGCATCTTATGAACAACACTGTAGCTGAATGTAATGCAGGGTAGATTCCTCTATGAAATCAAATTCATAGATGAAAATTCTCATTGCCATTCTCCTATGTACTGTGTGTATACTGTATATATACACACACATTTAATACTGATAATAAAAAGGCTGACTTTTGGACCCACTGTTTTTTCTGTCTTTATGAGTATGTAAATGAGCTGGTGTAGGTTAATATTCTCCAGCACAGCGGTTTGCTTGTACAATTTGTAAATGTCGAAAGTCTAGAAGAACGCAACAGCTCAGTACAGAAAAACTGGACACATTCGTTTTAAACTGGGCATGAAGATAAATTCTAAATTGGGCATGAAGATGTTATGGATGCTGTACCTTCTGAGATGTCAATCACCACCTCCACGTCTTTGAATATGCCAAGACGGAGCAACCTCTGTCTGGCCTCATGGGATTTTCTCATCACCTGAACAAAAGACTGGGCTTGTTACCTTGTCTACTAAATTGGTGATCGACCGATAGAGTTTCTTAATGGCTGATATCTATGGCCTATTATTTAATGCTGATACATTGGATACAATTAATGTCAGCACATAAGACGTAGCTAGTAATAATTGTATCTAATGATCTATCTATGCATTTACAGACATTTTTATCCAAAGCAAAAATATATCTGAAATTGAAAAAAAAAGAAAGAAAAAAAGTGCACTGTCCACTAAATCCGCCTTGGACCATTTTGGTCTATCGCTACTCATAATAACCCGTCCCAATAAACACTTTGACCTTCTTGACAGCTCACTTACTTCAACCAGGTTTCTGGCAGTGAAGACATCAGAGATTTCATAGCCCAAGTAATCCTCTTTAGTTCTGCCCAACCCTTCAATGTTGACATGTTGTACAACAACCTAGAAGAGAACAGAGATGTCATAGTGTGTGACTGCAGATTGTGGACATGATACAACAACGGTAATACCGTATTTTTGGACATACACAATAGTATTCTTGGAAGTATTTTGGAATACAATGTAAATACTATGGCATTGCCATCTAATAGCATCAGAGTTTTATGGTACTTTTTTGTAAGGGTGGTACAGTCAGAAATGAAACGTGGTAATCAAGATATATTCATGTTCACTACTCATGTACCATTACATATACATGGTATAACCATTATCCAAATATCCAAAACAAACAAACAAACATGGTAATATAATTTTATAAGTTTAAAACGATTTAAAAGAAGTCAGAATCAGTTTGACAAAACTTACATTTTTATTTTCTAAAACCTCTTGCTTAGTTTCTTGCACCGCCTCCATCATTTCCATATCATCTGGGTTGACGCCCAGATCTCGCCCATACATGGGGTAAGAATCCATACTCTACAAAAAAAAAAAACATTGCAAATATTCTGCACATATGTATAGCTAATATCCAATGTCATGTACATAAAGACGAGCAGCTTTCTTTAACAATACAACAACAAGCAATAAACCAGCAAAATAATTCGGAGCACAAGAGGTCACAGGCAAACCAAGAATATTTCACCCTGCGTTTTTAAGAAAACACTTACCCGTGCGTGCACAGTCCCCATTGTTAGTGCAATAATATCCTAAACGTGTTAGAGCCGCTGCGCTGATCGTGGGAATGTAAAATATCGCAGTTATTATGAATCTGCGAACCCAACCCCCTTCAAGGAGGACGCCATGACACGCAACCGCTTGGCGTACCTGCACTGCAATTGGCTAGAATTATGTGACGTCACACACAGGCGGGTCCGCTGTATGTGGTGTTGCGGACGGCGCGTTCCTTAGCGTCGCGCGCGTTCACTCAACTTGTGCAGCGCGTTTCAGACACACAGGATTTACTTGTGAAAAGGGCAAATGTAAAAGTTAGGAGCTATACATGGACCGCGTCTTTCAGACCCTCAGAGAGACAATACTTCACAGCTAGGATGACTCTGTCTGTCTGTCTGTCTCTTTGTTGTTTGTTTGTTTGTTTGTATGTCTGTGTTGTAAACCCTATCGTAGACATGTTTCAAGTCTTGCTGATAATGCGTCAAAGATTTCGTTTTGGTGCCCTGCATGAGGTCACGTAAAAACTATTATTTCTCACTTTAAAAGGCTTCGCACCTTTTTCCCCCTTTTTAAAACAAAAAAATATATATGGTAGCCTAGGCTACTTCTGTTTTTTTAAGTAGCCTACCTTGGTATAGTGTTTTAATGGTCATATAAAACCTGGATATATCAGGGAATTCGTGATTTTCAGGCCTGGAAAAAAAAGAATATAATTAGGTTAATACAATCGAATCCTAATATAATCTTTGAAAGTCATAAAGTAGTAGCCGGGGTTCTTTTTTTCTTTCTTTTTTTTAGAATATTTTTGTAATTTAGAAATTGCTTTTTGTTAATGTAAAATGCAATATTTATTAAATTAGATTAAAAAATCATATCCAGTAATTACACGCAACTAGAAAAGTCATTCAAATTAATTTGTCACTGTATAATGGCACACAACCACAGTGCTTTTTACAAGGTGTGTACTGCTGTTCGGTCGCCAGGGGGCAGCATGTCCTCTCCTGTGATTGGTATTTTATTGATTACCTGGCTTTAAATACCGTAAGCAGCTACTCTCACACAACCAAAACTCAAAAGCGATTTTTCTTTTTGTTTAACTATAAAGTTCAACTTTTAACATACTGGGATGATTAGATTAATCCAAACTGAGAAACACTTTCATTAGGCAATTTTTAAATGTCCATTTAACAATTGCCGGAAATGCTATAGATATGCTATCAGTTACATTTGTTATATTTATTGCCATAATTCAGACTGTTATTGCTTTTGTACTTTTTCATATGACATAATGACCCTATCTATCTATCTTTCTATCTATCTATCTATCTATCTATCTATCTATCTATCTATCTATCTATCTGTCTATCTGTCTATCTGTCTATCTGTCTATCTGTCTATCTATCTATCTATCTATCTATCTATCTATCTATCTATCTATCTATCTATCTATCTATCTATCTATCTATCTATCTATCTATCTAGATTTAGGCGCGCGCACTGAGAGAGAAAGAGAGAGAGAGAGAGAGACCTCTCTCTCTCTCTCTCTCTCTCTCTCTCTCTCTCTCTCTCTCTCTCTCTCTCTCTCTCTCTCTCTCTCTCTCTGTCCCCCTTTCTTCCACCTCCCATCTCCTCCTCAAATGTGCGCAAGCCAATCAGCAGGCGGCTGGAGCTCTCGTGCTCTCTCTGCCAGAAGCAGCAGAAATCCTTCTTATCAAAGAAACGCACAACTGGAGAAGTCCATTCACTCACAGCCTCTAACCATGGGTCCTGCCTGCTTCTCCCTGGACGTCTGTTTGTTTTTCCTCATCATAAATACTTTGGATGTCATGGGAAATGTTGCAGTCGCAGGTAAGTGTTCCATTCTGTTTTTTTCCCTGGATCTTTCACATATTTTTGGGTGAAACTTTTAACACCTGATATTGGCTATAATTCAGTGGTTGCATGTTTGTATGCAAATTATTTCAGTGTAATTGCAAATTATTTCAGTGTAATTGCAATATAAATTCTGTATAATTAATTATTATTGCATTCATTTAGAATACAAATTTAGTCATAACATTTAAAATATTGCTCTCTCGTTATTGACATAAGAGCTGGAAAAACTTACGGAATAAGGCGTATGCGTATTTGAACGCGTTTAACGCGCAGTTTTATGCTCTTGATATTCCTTAAGGAGAGCTCTTCTAAGTCCCATAGGGTCTATAGGAACATGAGCCGCCCTGATGGGGTCGGTCCGGGGGGCTTATCGACCCCTCACTCCTCCACCACCATCAATACGCATTGTGTCTCTCCATAATGAATGCCTGGAAAAAGTCAATAATGATACAAACAATAAAAACTGTCTGTTGGTTATTTTTAACCACGACACGACTGAAGGATTTGTAGTATTTTATATTTTCACGTGTGTATTTTAGGTCAGACACAATGCTTTTGCAAATAAACCGAGATGAATGACTCATCTCCAAATGAGTCTGACTATTGCGCATAACGGACTTTTGGTTTTCCCGGTTTTCAGTCTTTTTAAATAGACAGTAGGCTACTTTAACAGATTAAGTTATGGAATGCACAAACAAAACTTTAGAAAGGATTCTCTGTTTTTCTCTCTCTCACACACACGCTTCATGCGTATTTATGGCTTGGATGTTGGATGTAAAGAGCGCACCGTTGCGCAAAAGGTGATCAGTTGGATTCTGCGACTTTTTACGTTTGCGTGAAGTTTAAAGAATTCACACGATTTCATGAAAAGACAAAGAAGAGTTTGGGGGGCCAGTGGTGTGTCACTGTTGGGGTGACAGGATTGAGTCTACTACACATCTATAACCAACCAAACAACCTCCTTAACCTCTTCAAAAAGACAATATCTCCCAAAGTAGCTTTCCAACAGTCTGCTCATTCATTCATTCATTCATTCATTCATTCATCCATTCACCTCTGTATCTGGAGAATGAATGAGCATAATATCTGCTTTTTATGTGTATCAATGTATCACTTTATTGGACCGTCTTTCTTGGCTAAAAAGGCTGAACTTCTTCCTTCCGGACTGCCCTTGTCCTGTCTCAATAAGATTTTGTCATTTTTATTCTGTTCTGTTCAGTTTCACCTGTCTAAACCAGCAATAAGAACCCCATAAGAGAAAGTAAACTGTTCTCAGAACAGACAAAGAGTAACATTTACCACACCCTGAATCTCCTGTCAAAAGAAACACATAAAACAGATTTTTCATTAAAGTCAATGTTTATCTAATTCAGTTTGACTGGATTGTCGTTTGGTAGAAGGGTATGTGCTGCACTGAGGAGGATTAGCTGTTTCTGGAACTCCTTCTTGCTCTTCTGTTTGAATGTTATTCGCTTTTGGAACCAATATGAATGAAACTGAAAGATTAATGTAATGACCCTTCTCTGTTTTATTATTTGTATTGTACTGATTTAAATAGAGAGGGTGTCATGCTTTTAGAAACTGACCTACTATTGAAGCATTAGATTTTCGGCTGGCTTAAACCAAAATAGGCACTTTATAAAGCATCTTCATCTAGTGACTTCTCTTTTATTTGCTGTCACTGTCTGATTTGACTCTATTATCTTTTCAGATCGATGTGTAACACGCATTCAGCTAAATCTTATCCCATGTGATTACTCCACAGATGCCGACGAGTGCTCCGAAGCCACAGATGACTGTCACATCGACGCTCTCTGCCAGAACACTCCCAAGTCCTTCAAGTGCATCTGCAAGACTGGTTACAAGGGAGATGGCAAGCACTGCGAAGGTGGGCCAGACAGATCTCTCTCCTTCTGTTTCGCTCGTTCCGTCCCTGTCCACCCGTCTCTCGCTGTCACACACACACACACACTCAGTCAGGTCATCCAGCTGTTCTCTAGATCCTGCTGTGGGTCTTAATTAGTGAGGAGGAAGTGCAGTGTGAGGGTGAGAGGTGCTGGGAGGCCAAAACCTGCTCCAGTCTTTACACCTCCCTCTCCTGTTCTGCTCGAGAGCACAGCACAGCTGGAGCCAACACACACACACACACACACACACGATCAGAGCGGATCACACTCACACATTCACTGAAACACTCATAGACACACACTAACATCACGCCACATCTCTGTACAATCACATACATCTATTGAGCAGGTACTGGACATGCTTTTGGGCATAAATACATATGTTGGAAGAAAGTTCTGAATGTGTTTTTTGTAACAGAACAATTTAGTAGTTGATCGTTATAGGTTATTTAATAGCTAATGTGATTTTTGGAGAACATAGTGACTGGAGAACAAAACAGTGATTGTCTAATTTAATAAATGTTTTATTGAAATTATATGTTGGCATTATATTACAAAACATGGATAAACAATATGCATTTTTTCTAATTTAATATTTTTTCAATAAAGATTATATATTTGCATTATATTACAAAAAAAATTATATACAATATGTATTTTTCTAATTTAATATTTTTTCATTCAGAATTATAGATTGGCATTATATGACAAAATGTATATGCAATATGCATTTTTTTCGTCATACATTTCTTTCATTAAAATGATATATTTGCATTATATTAAAAAGGTTATATACGATATGCATTTTTCTAAATCAATATTTTTTCTTTACAAAATATGTTATCAGCATAACACTTTAAGTGAAAAGTAGAATTGAAATATTTGCGAGAAAACATTTTATACATTATTTTAAAAATGATCCTCTAATATTGTAGAATTAAATACTCAAAGTTTAGGCTCTATTTCTTATTTGATACTCACAATTTCACACTTCCGTTTCATGGCTGAGCAGGTGCAGGGTACAGTTATTGATAAATCAAGTGATGATTTTTAGGTCCAGGTTAAGTTAACCCAGGATGAATTTGTGTTCAAGAATCTTGAATATATAAACGCACTCTCTCATGCACGCACGCACACACACACACTTCTCTGACTTCTAGCTGGTGCGATTAAAGACTGCGAGCTACATAATGAGTTTGTGTGTGTCAGAGCATCACTGAGGTGCACCGAGCATGATGGACACTTTTAGAGCTGACAAACAGTCGGGTTATTCTCTCTCTCTGGTGTTTCCTGTTATTGTACTCTGTGTTCTTCATCTGTGGATTCTAGATTGTTAGTTTTGCCGCACTCTCTCCCCGTTTCACCCACATGTGTGGAGCTTGTGTTTCAGGAAAAGGGTGAAATGAGCTCTCTACCTATTATGAAACCCGAAACCCATTCTCAATTGCATTAATGAATTAGGTGGATGTGAAGTGGCATTGCACCAGACTGCTCTTCAGTTAGCGCTTGATACTCCTGCTGAGGCCAGACAGCGTGGGCTAGAACAACATCTTTTTATTTCTCTAAGGAAACACGGGGAATGTTCTGGACTTTACAGAAGCCTTTTCCTCCCACCTTCAAACCGCAGTCTACGGTCGCGAGGCAATGAGGCTGTCAGTTATGTTGAATCCGACCGGTCTGCTTTGGTCTTAGCATGTTAACTATGCGTGCATCTCTTCTCTTTTTTTTTTCTTCTTTTCTTTTTGCTCTTATTCTGTCTGAGCGGACATTCCGTCCACAGTGTAATGTGGTGTATTGTGGGGAGTGGGGGGGCTGTTTTGTCTGAAGCAAAAAAAGCCCATTAACACCCCCAATACCCACCCTTTAATTAAAGCCCTGCGTGTTTGGCTTTGAAGAAAATTAAGAAAATGCTCGCTAACACTCTAATGCAGTCATTGTGTCTGTCTGCACATCAGTGCCTTTGTGGTCCAGTTACATGCTGGTGAAGTCTGCATGTTGAGCATGAGGAGATTCAGAACCCATCTCTTTAATATCTCAATTGTTACTTGTAGACAACAAATAGGCTAAATGGCTTTTTAGATGTTTTTTAGATGTTTCTCCTAGCAAGCCAGGTGTGTCGCATAAAATGTCTTAAACTGTGCTCTTATTAACCAAGATGCCAATCAAAAGTACATTTATTTTGCTCGGAGATTGGTCTTTGAAAGCTTAGCTGTTTCAGTAATGTATACCTTTGGCCCTGTTTACACCTGGAATTAAGATGCGTTTTGGTCGATCGGATCACAAGTAGATGTGGGAGACATTTTCCTATTTACACCTGGTGTTTCTTTTGTCCACTTTCAACCACTTCTGTTCTGATTTCTTCGAGAGGAGGGTCTAATGGCGGGTAAATTTATGGGCTTTTTCAGATCTTTTGCTTCTGTTCGAACACATTCGATCACATGAGCATTCACACTACCAAAGCAATCCGGTCGAATGCACCGGATTGCTTCTACCTCTGTGGACAAGCTCAAAACGTTTTAGACCCGGTCTACACCTGTATTTAGCGTCGTCGACTTGTGATCTGATCGATCACACGCATGCAGGTGTAAACAGGGCCTCTGTCTCAGCAGTTTCTCATAAAACACCTTAATTCCAGACCATTAGAAAAGAATAATCATAAATAAGATCTCCTTAACGTCTCAGTTGTTTCTCCTATACACCAATGAGATGAAATGGAGGTCAGATGGAGTCTCCTGATTTCTCAGGTGTTTCTCCTAAGAAAAAAACCCCAGTAATCTCAAATGTGTCTTATCTGAAGTTTCAGAAGAGATCTCAACAGTGTCATGTGCTCAGATTTGCCAACATACCAAAGTCTTCGAAAGATCTAAAATGTTTCTCATCTAATTTCTTTAAGATCATATAATCTGAGCTATGCTTTTCACATTAATTCGATTTTATAGCTCTACAGCCTTCTTATATGTCGACTATTTCTCCTAAGGAGTTTCAGGAGAAACGTCTGCCTCCTTTGGGTTTTCTAAATAAATATTAGTTAAATTTTTGTGATGACATGCTCAGTAAATTCAGTCAGCTGGTCCCCAAGCAATTCATTATTGCCTTTTTAGCTTTGTGCTCATAGAATTATTAAATATATTTGCTATTATTTGAATCTTTAACATGGTTTTTATAAGTTGTTGCAGATAAACATCTCTTTAACTGGTGAGTAGATATACAGACACAACAAAACAGGTTTTTGAGGTGCATCTGCTTGTAATTGTGACATTTGAAAAGTGCTGCTTCTCTACTATCATGGGTGATTCAGAAAATTGTGTTTTGCATGTTTCTGTCATTGTAAAGTCAAGGCATATGTTGTCTGTGATTTGTGAACCTGCTTTGCGTTATGTATTTGATGTTTTTTTAGGGCTGGTAGACTAAACTCACAGTGTAAAATGCATCTAATGGTTTTTCCTACAGTGAACGGCACTATGCAATTAAAATGCCTTTCGTAGATTGATTCCCCTAAAAACGTAAACACAGTGGCTTTGTGCCAGTATCAAAACATTGCTCTGTTTGTTTGAGCATCCCGACCAGCGTGACACAGCAACATTGGCTCAACCAATGCCGTGAGTTGGGGGCGGGACTATTGTTTGTTTGACTAATGAAAGCCAAATTTTTATTTGGTGACTTTGGAATTACACAGTAATGACAAAGTTTATATGCTTTAAAGATAAAAGATTATAATTATATATAAAAATTATGGCATGAGATGACATAGCACTTCCTTCCTGACCCTTTTGGGTTTTATTGATTATGCAAATTGCTTAATTGATGAGCTTTCTCAGTTGAAGGGAATCCCCACAGATCTTAAATCCCCAGAGGCTAGTGTGGGGATTTCACTGCTGGGTTTGTTTGCAGGGTAGAGAAAGATTAAACAAAGCTTGTAAAGATGACTCGGCATCAGGACTATGGGTCAGTCAGTTTAACCTGGAGAAAATTGTCTTGCCTGCCTTTTTATTCATTCTTTTTCTCATTCCCTCCATCCCCTTTTTATCTCTACCTAAAGAGGTCAGGTAATTGTCGCTGCTTTACTGAAGAAGTGCCCTAGTCTCTGCTTGTGTGTAGACTGAGGTGGATTGTGTGTAGTTGTGTTTCTGAGTGTGTTTGTATGTTTCGATGAGAAAATGATAGAAAAGGGCATGGGGGGTGGTGAGGAAGAGACAGATAAATGGAATGAGAGATGGAGGTGTCGGCCCATTGCTAGGCCATTGTCTGCCTGGTGTCTGCGGACTCATCACAGAGCTGTCAATGCTCTGATTGGCTATCTGAGTGTGCCCACCATTCATCCCTGACCCTCCCCTCACAGGACACTTCAGTCTCTTTACTGCTTTATGTGCCACCATACGCGCACACGCACACACACACACACGCACGCCCACACAAAAACTTTTTTTAAACAGCATTTTAAATTCTTCTATAATTATTATCATTCAAAAGTTTGGGGTCAGTAAAATTGTTCAATTCAATTAATCAAGTGTCCGTAAATATATTTTTAACGTTACAAAGATTTATATTTCAAACATATGCTGTTCTGAACTTATTATTCATCAAAAATCCGGAAAAAAAACGCTACACAATTGTTTTCAACATTGATAAACAAATCAGCATGTTAATGAATTCTGGAGGATCATATGACACTGACAATTGGACTAATGGTTGTTGAAAATTCAGCTTTGCCATCTCAAGAATAAATTACATTTTGAAATATGTTTTTTTTAAGTTGAAATTTTCACATTGTATTTTTGATCAAATAAATGCAGCCTTGATGAGCATAAATCCCTGTTCACACTAAGGACAATAACTATAATGATAATAGAATAGTTCTAAAATAAGATATACTTCTAAAAATCATTCTAAATATAAAAGAATAGCAGTCTACACGACAACTATAACGATAACGGCACAGAAGAACGATATCACTGAAATCACTTTCAGAATGATTTTTTTCCTGCTGATGAATGAGAAAAACAATGACAGCTCGAGCATTTAAAGTGGCAGATGACAAAACTGCAGCGCACGCTTATGATAAACAGAATGATATCGTCCGCTGATGTGGAATCTAATATTGTTATCTTTATAATTATTGTTCTTTGTGTGAATGGGCCTTAAGGGACTTCATAAAAAAAAAAAAAAAAAAAATCCTAATGTACATACACTTTTTATGGCATCATATTTATTGAGACTGCATGCAACTTTGCACTTTTTTTCACTTTTACAAAATTATTTTTGTTTTGTTTCACAGGACCTTCGGAAAAGATTACAAAATTATCCTTTACAGTATAGCTGAGACAGACATTATTCAGTACATATGTGGAGCTAAACCTAAAATCTTGATGTCGAAGGTTCAACCTGACTGTGGATGTGTGATTGAAACGTGCAAATTAATTATGATTAATACAAAAACACACATTAGCAAGGTGTCATTGTTTGTCCCTTTCCTGCGTTATGAAAAGGGCTTTTTGCAATACCCCTCCTTCCTTTGCTCTCTGCATGGCACGTTTTTCAGCAGTTAGGATTTGGGCATGGGGTGTGCTATGTTGGGCCATAGGGGTGTTGAGGTGTTGCCTCCCGCGGGCTCCACCCCTGCTGAGGTGTTAGCGGAGGTGCTTAATCTGCCTGATGGGATGTTGAGCGTAAACACTTCTCCTTCAATTAGAGATCAGCGTGTGTCAACGGCGGAAATGGCGACAAGCAGCAGCCCGACCTGTCAGCTCGCTGCCGGCCCGTATCAACAACAGCTCCGGGGCAGGAAGTCTGTCAGCTGGAAGCGAACTAGCCGTCCCGCTCTTTAACATCCCCGTCCCCCTCACACCTTCACTGGCAGCTCATATACAGCTTGTTAGCCTTGCTGACGACCACAACACGCACGGACACCTAAAAACACTGTGACCTCGACTCTCACTCGTTTTCTTACAGTTCTCGGATGGATTACCTTTATAATGCATTAGTGTAATGCCACTGACGGACATATTGTGTCTCATTCAGTTCAATTGTGTGGATTAATTTGAACTTCTCACAAAAAATGTCCACCCAGTTCATAACACATGCGATACACACATGAATTTGTGCTTTACCTTGTTATAATGTTAATGAATTTGGAGTATTTTAAATACGCGACTACGTGATTGAGGTATATAGGTACATATGACACTCTCTAAAGACACGCTCGCCTGAAGGCACACACAGAAACATCTTCAAGCAACACTAAGTGTGCCATCCTCAAAACCAGTTTAAACACAATGATTAAGCTGTACATACAAGTATCTGCGCGTTTCTATGCAGAGGAACCTTGCAGCTCAAGCTATTATGCACCTTTTCTTACTCTTTTACTGTAGCCTAAATGGTGAAATATAGATTGAATATCTATGTATAAAATTTCATCTTAACGTGATTTATAAGGCCACCCTGAGTATGTGATTTTTGCATAAATTGCATCCTGAATTTAGAGTAAAGTTCTTTATGAAAGTGTATCATGATTTTTTATCATTAAAACGTTCACACACACTTAGTGAATGAGACTCAATGTGTTATTTTAAAGTGGCCTTTATTATGGTGAGATCTGTCATTCCTCCATCTCATTTACCTTCAGGGGACGTCTGTCTTTTCCCTCATTTTTTCCTTCCTTCTTGTGGATCATGTAGCACTCTTCAGGAACATGTTCTCTAGATAAAACGGTAATGAAACATGAACTTTTTGTTTGCTCCAGAGTGTTTATGGATGTTTTCATGATGAGTTGGCTCAGGGTTTGTCTACTGTGATGGCCCTTTTCCTCAAAATAAGCCAAAACCGACACTCTTTGATAGACGAAAGAAATAAACAACAAATAAAATACTAGTGAAGTATTTATGCCTCCATAATTTTAGTGTATATCTGTGTGTGTATGATTTGTGTTTGTGGCATGAGCATGTGCGCTTGCATGTGTGTTACTGTGAACTCGAAATTTGACTGTCTAAATAGTTTTTCAGTTTTGAGAAGATGTTTTTGCAAAGAAAAACAAAACATTCTTAAACGCAGTTCTCACTGTCCTCAAAGCCACAGTTGCACAACGTGAGTGTTATTTGTGGGAAATAATGTGGATATTTTTACTTTGTGCCGTATGTCTCCAAGAGCACAAGCCAGGTTTATTAAATCACACACTCCGAGATATACAGAACACAAAGCAGATACCCGCTATCATTGTCTGGCAGAGAACGGACACTTTCTGTCTATCTGATTTCAATGTATTCAAGTGTGTGAGTGAAAGAGAAAGAAATATTGTGTTTATTTTAGTGTCCCCACTTACGTCTGTCTGCTGTACAGACTCATAGCCCTAATGGAGGCTTGTTTCATAAGCCGACTGTTCCTAAAACTTCCTATTTAACCTCTGCTTAGTATCACTAACAGGATTTGACTTTTTAGTAGTCTTAAGAGTTAGTGATTTGTACAACCCCTAACCTATGTATCAAACTTCAGTGTTACTCGTCCATACTGTTTGTGTTATGGACATTTGTCTGATCTGTACCGACTCAATGTGATATTTTGTGTTTACTGACTCAATTGTGTGTGTGTGCTGTCTTTTTCAGATATGGACGAGTGTGAAAACGACTACAATGGCGGATGTGTTCATGACTGCATCAATATCCCCGGGAACTACAGGTGCACTTGCTACGATGGATTCATGCTGGCAGACGACGGGCACAACTGTCTTGGTAAGACGCTAGAGAGAAAAATACACACTCAGTTGGCTCTCTTGACGGACTTACAGATGAGCTACTCCCTTGTCATCTCTTTGCCCGGCTAATGACCTCTGTAATGACCCCCTCCGCATACGTAAACAAATCAGCCTCAGCGATCTTTCCGTGCAGCGCCTCGGAAAAGGCCAGCCGAGTGCGTCTAGCGCCGGTATTCCATCCCCGTTCTGACAGGAGCACGCCAACAGGAACCTTGCGATTATTTTCATCTCTTAAAAATGTCACCCAAATGTCACCAGTGGCGCAATCGCCTCCAATTCCCAGAAATCGTCAGTCAGGTCCGATGTTTATGTTAGCGGTTAAAAATGGAAGTAGGGGAAGAAAAGGCTGAGAGAAAATTAATAACTTGGCATCTCATATTTATTGAAATAGTTCAAAGATGAAATTCCATGACCCGGAGAGTTAGGTCCGGGTCTCATGGTTTTTGCTGGATTGCTGTGGGGATTGAGGAATTCGTTAAAAAGTGTGTTTTTTGTAGCGAGTCTGTCTGCGTTACTGCTCTAAGTGAGTGCAGATGTGTCTTTGGTCGAAAGCGACTTATCAACCTGAAGTGTGGTGGCTCTATAGTGTCACTGGGACCACGTATTTCAGTGTCGCAACAGATAAAGAGAGAGAAGACAGCGTCAGCGATGGTGTTCGTCTTAGCAGCTGGATCAAGAACTTGAACCGCTCTCATCTCATCTCTGCTCTCATAATCCAAAGCAAATATGTGTGCCAAGCGGAGTTTCAGGATGCTGAGGTCATCATTTTTCATTAGACGTTGTAATGATGATGGATCCCAGAGCAGGACATCAGGGCTCAGACCTTCAGAGACCTTTAGCACCTCCTCTGCCTTGCTACAACAGCTTGCACAATTTCATCAGATGTTTTTTCCTAATATTTTTCCATTTCAAAACAGAACTGTGGTGTACAGTGATGACATCAGATAGTAATACCATGGTTTTTGATTAGTGCGTACTACTTAAAGGTGAAGTATGTAATTTCCAACGCGATCTTGTGAGAATTCGTAAGTATTGTACTAGTTGGCGATTTCGTATGAATTTATACAATGTGACTAGTTCAAAAACGTATGATTTGTAGGTAAAGTCTGTTTCCATGAATGCTTTTTCCCCCCCGAGGCTAGTGTATTGTTCAAGTTTGGGAGTGCTGTGTTTTTTTAAAACGCCAGCAACGTGACGAGGTGCTGAGCGTCTAGTACACGCTGAGAACTTAGCGGGTTTTTTTTTTACGGTCGAGAGTTGAAGAATATTCAACTTTGAGTAAAACACAGCGCTCATCAATGTCACTTTTTACCCAGTCGTCCAATCACAGTGAAGGAGAGACGGGACAAATACCACAGTGACCCACCGCCACATCCTGCTGGGACAACAGCAACAGACGACAACAACAAGAACAACAACGGAACAAAATCATTGAAAACCAAGAGCCAGAGCAAATGCTGAATTGTCTGGGAAATCAGATAGTAACACTTCCACGGATATTTCGTATATAGCACATATAGCATCTCGACTAAAAAAAAACTCTCAAGCGCCCGCATCAAGACGTTTTCAGAAGAGCGCTGGTGTTTTCAGCTGGCTAAAAACTTTGCACGATCTGAGTGGTACGGCAATGTATGATTTCTAAGTAAAACATGACCATGAAGGTCCACCTCTAATCACACCCGCAGTTGACAATATTGTATGAATATTGGCCAATGAAAGCTTTGATGGAGTCCAGACCTTCTGCTGTCAATCTGAAGGTCTGGCTACATGTGACTAGTGGAACATATGCAGATTGCAAAAAAAAAAAAAAACGTATGAATGAGATTATACGTATTCATAAGAATTCGAAACCAATTTACTAAAATACTTACAAACTGTCATCATTTCTGTGCCACTAGAGGCACAGCAATGAATGTTTGCAAACAGTCCCGATTTCTATTCTTAGGCCAAAAAATATTCCCGCCTCCAAATCACACAATTGGTTGAGCCACTATTGCGAACATTTGCTCTTCATTTTGTTGCAGTTGTGCGAAGAAAGTCAGGCAGTTCAATGCATTCATGTTATTCTGAACAAAATCACTTGAATGCATGTCTTCTTTGCTTCCTGAATTCATAGGTATAAACTTGAACAGATCGGCCTTAAAGGTGATTCTAGTGACGTGGGCATTACACAACACACATTTAATGACTACCAAATTCATGTACGATAGTATTTACATTGTGCTCCAAGTTATATCTTAGAATACTACGGTCCAGCCATGGTACTATGTCCAAAAAACCAAGGTATTACCATAATACAATGTCTTAAACTGTGATAATGCTGTACGTTACTCTATCTCTATGACTCTTTCCTTCATAATCAAACCATTCTTTACTTTCTCTAACTTTCTTTTTATCCTTCTTCTCCTTAAAATCTCTCTTTCTTCCATTCTGTCTTTGCACACACTTTCCCTTTCTCTCCCCGCATTTTCTTGGTTATCTTGGCTGTGGGTCTCTTTGGAGTAACTCCAGGCTGTTTCCCTAGAGGCGATAGACTTGCCTTCTATTTGACATCTTTATTGTGGAATGTCTCAAATACAAGCCTAAATGATGGCTCTGGGAACTAAGACAAGGCCGTAGAGGGCCATCAGCGGCATTGCGGGGGCTCTCCTGTTCGAGCCCTCCTCCTTCTGCTACTCTTGTTATGCCTTTCCCTCCGCTTCCAGTTTTCTGTCTACTTTTCTAGTCCCCTTTTTTTCTGTCTTGTCCTCTCTCCTGGATTCAATCTGTTTCTGTCTGTCTTTGTCTCAGCCCCTGTCCTCCACCTCTACCTAGAAATAGATTGACACAGAAAAAGTGAATCATTTAGAGATTTTACTCTCCTTGTCTTCTTCTTTGACTTGCATGCAGTATCACTAGAGTCACTTTAATCTTCGTTTGAGAGGTTAAATGAATGATTTGTGGCTTAAAGTCTATTACCACATAAAATGATTCCAACTTGTCCCTCCGTTTTTAAAAAAGGGCTAAAATTGTCTTTTAATCTTAACTTGTCCTGAACTCGAAACATTAAATGAAACACTTCCGCACAGAGATGTCGTCATATGGCGCTTTGTAATGTTTCCTCGTCATGCTCTCTCTCTTATGTCTGCTTAATGCTGATGTTTCTCATTCACACGTCATCTGTGTGTGTGTGTGTGTGTGTGTGTGTGTTTGTTTGCTCTTTCAAAACCTCATTCATTCTCATTGTCGCTTTACCGTCATATGAAGTGTTGTCATAGCACCCCTCATGTTTCTCATTGGCATGTGTGCGCATTATGGCAAGTTCAGATGGAAGTGAAACCACTAGAACTATTGACCTTTTTGAAAGGTTAAATGAATCATGTTTATGACGACCTTTTCCTGTAATCTCTTTTTTGTCTATTTGACATTCTCTTTCTATTTAATTTTCTCCAAGTACGTGTTGCTTAACCTTTTCCAACTCACTTCTAGATAATTAATGGCTTCTTTTAACTAGATTTTTACATTTTCTGATGAAAATGCGATTGGTGTCTGCTCATGCAAAACTTTGCGTCACAAGGATGTTGTGGATGGTCGCTATGCAGTTATTAAAGTGTTTTAAGTGCTTGCTAGGCTGTTAGTTTAAAAGTATAACATCATAAATCGTAAAGTTGTAATTGTGTAAGCTGCAGTTACAAGAAGTTTTGAAATGGGCTTCCATAGATCTTAGCTATTTAAAATGACATTGTGTGAGGGGCTAAGCCATTTGGCATAATATTTTAAAGCAACTTCAGAGACAAATGGCCAGAAAGTGTATGACTTGTATTCACTGTACTTGGGCTAGTTAGATTCTTTTCAGCCACCAATAATAGTACTCGGTTCAAAAGTCATTTTGTTTGAAACCATTTCACATATACCCAACCAAAAGTAATAGCACATAGGATGAGCAATAGCAATAGTGATGCTTGCCTTAATGTGGCTTGTGCCACTGATTACGCTCTGCACAAACACACACACACACACATTCATAGTGTGTTCAAACAAACCTACTGAGCGCTAACCAAACCGCAAGCTCTTTGAAATGGGGCGGAAACCAGTGCTGTGGCTTGTCTGCCTGGCTGATCTTGTGTAGGAAGTCGTTTTAGATCGCCACATGTTAACAAGTTAAAGCTTTAATTGATTTAAGATTGGCTAATGGGGAGCTGATTAAAGAGCATTTTACTGCAGTTCCTCTGTCTTTTTCATTTCCATTCTTATTTGTTTTCGCTCAATGTGCAGGCAGCTGGACTCAATGTGTTGATCATTTGGCCCTTTTTTATGAATGCCTGCATTGCTGCTGCTGTTTATTTATCTTTTGGCTGCTTTTCCCCTCTCATTCCAACATCAGAATGGGAGAAGAGAACTCATATAGTTAGAATTACAACACGGGTGATGATGTTGTAACTGAGGTCACTTTAAACAAGAGAATTCTCAGTATACTATTCTGTTGAGTTGTGTTCACTTCACTTCAATTCACTTCACTTCAGTTCAATTCCGGTCTCTTCTGTTCTCTTCTCTTCTATTGAATTCATTTCTCTTCATTTCCATTTTATTTAGTTCTGTTTGTGTTGCTTCACTTCACTTCTTCATGTCACTACTGTTCTGTTCTCTTGGCTTTGCTTCACTTGTGTTCTGTTCACTTCTGTTAATTCATTTGAAAGAAAAGTTCATTTCTCTTCACTTCCATTTTGTCCTTTTCTGTTTGTCACTTCACTTCGCTTTACTTTACTTCTGTTCAGTTTACTTCACTTCACTCGTGTTCTGTTGTTCTCAATTATTTTGAGTTCATTTCACTTCAATTTTGTTCTGTTCTGTCAACTTTTGTTGAGTTAATTTCACTTCACTTCTATTTTGTCTTGTTTAGTTTGTCGCTTAACTTTGCTTCTGTTCAGTTCATTTCTTCACTTCACTTCTTCTGTTTTGTTGTTCATAATTCTGATGAGTTCATTTCAATTCTATTTTGTTCTGTTCTGTCCTCTTCTGTTCTGTTAACTTCTGATAAGTTAATGTCACTTCACTTCTATTTCGTCTTGTTCTGTTCATTTCGCTACTGTTCTGTTCTGTTTACTTCACCTCCGTTTACATCTGTTGAGTTAATTTCACTTCACTTCTGTTCAGTTATTTTGTGTTCTGTTCACTTCTTTCTTTTTTTGTTCCCCCCCCTCCATTCTATAGACATGTTCAGTTTACTTCTGTTCCGTTTAGTTTTCTTCACTTCACTTCACTTTCTCTTTACGTCTGTTCTTTTCTGTTCAGTCTTATTCTCACCTCTTACTCTTTTTTCAAAAGATTTTTTTGTTCTTTTATTCTGTCCTCTATTTCACTCTCAATTTCCTCCTCCCTCATCCTCCCTCTCTCTCTCTCTCTCTCTCTCTCTCTCTCCCCCCCCCCCCCCCCTCTCTCTCTCTCTCTTTTTCTCTCTCTCTCCTGTTGTGTCATGTCATCTTAGATCTTTTCCAAATTAAAGTTTACACAAGAGTAATCAAACAAAACAAAAGCATTCTAGTTTAAACTCGCAGGCCAGGATGCCAGGGCTCTTGTTTAAATTTTGGCAGAGAGTGCCTTAATTGAGAGATGACAGCTGAAATGTTATTTTTTCCCCTCCTTTTAAAGCAAGAGAGTGCTGTCACACTGATGATATCTGTTTCCATTTGCACATTAAACACGGCACACAACACGCTCGCAGCTATCGAGTCACTCGAGACAGAGGCAGCCAGCATGTCTTCTCCAAACCCTCCTATCAAATATTACTCTTGTCCGTAAATAAGAAGCAAGCCACAACGACTGGATTGTTACATGCGGTAATAAAGAGATAAAAGCTTGTGATCTGGGTGGCCTTATATGTGATATTTCCCTACATCTATTCCGACATTTTTCTCAGAAGAAATAAAGAGAAAGAGAGATGTCAACATGTGTTTCAGGGAGGAAAGAAAAATAGTAAAAGGAGAGTGGAAAGACAGAGGTGACAACCTACAAAATAGCAACATGTAATTTTATTAAGGGTCGAGGTGAGATATCAACCACAATGTTGCATTAAGTCTTTAAATACTTGTAAACACTGTAAATGAAGATCGCAAAATGACACCGTTGTCAACATGTTTTAAAAGATTTTTTTTTAAAGAAATGAATACTTTTATTCAGCAAGGACACATTCAATTCTGTGTCTTTAGCAGGAAATCATATCTGGGAATCAGGAAACTTAAAGTATTTATTTGCTCTGCATTTAATCTAAAAAAAATTGAGACTTTAACGAGATCTCAAGAGGGATTGTTCTTTCCTAAAAGTTTGCTAAAGCATCTTGAGCTCCAATCATGCAGTAATTAAAGCAAAATCAATTTGATTTAACTCAAATTATATTATGCTGGTAATGTCATTCATAATTAAATTAAAGTAAATCAATGTGAAGAAATCTCATATTTTTAAACCCTACTATGCCGTACAAAACGCTTTCGGTTCCTGGCAGACAGGGATGCCTCTGTGGACGAGGGCATAAAGACCCCCTCTCTCGAAGGGTACAGTAGTTAATACAGTAAAGGCCTTGCTGTCCTGTTACGAGATGCCCCTGTGGATGCTAAAATAAGAGTTATGTCGCTAGGTAAAGCCAGGAGCCACATAATAAACCACTGTGACCAAATTAAACCATGAAAAGTGGTTGTGTTTGCATGTTGTGGATGAGTGTATGAATGTATGTCCTACATTCATGCATGTCTTTCGGCTGATGCATTTTGGTATCATCATTACTTATCACAAGGACGTCACAAGGAAGAAATAGAAAATTGATAGAATTTCCAGACATTAGCTATAATGTTAGCCCAAATAAAGTGTACAAAACAATGAGATCCACTCAGGACACCAAAGCCAGAGTTCGTAAGTCAGTTAGTCTCCATTAGCACAGCTGTCTTAGCTTGTACACTACATGGGATGTTGTTGAAGCCAGTGGGCAGATGAGTGTGCTTGTGTGCCGCCGAGCTCAGGCGCTAACAGCTGTAGAGGTCTTTACTTGCACAAATAAAGAGCTCGTAAAACTCGCTGCCTCTCAACACACTCCAGAAAGACAGCGCTGTAAACACAAACACACGTCCACATTAGGTGTCACACAACATGTAAATGTGACACGGTGTGGAAACAGACACTGCAATCTCTCTCCATCTATACACAACAGTCACTTTGAGCGTGTTTGTGAATGCAGCGCTGACAATTCATCTATAACAGTTGAGGAAACCAACGCCTCATTTACCAAAGCTTTGATGCTCATTCAGCCTTCCAGTGTACAACATTCAATGCTAGTTTTATAAGTGGCTTGTAAACAACAGAACCAGATTATACTAAACAGGCTGACAACGCATACTCTTACACTCGAACATGTGTTCTCACACATACAGGATGCAGGGAAGTCAGGCAACACAGATTCAGCTACTTCTGTTGAATAATCAGGCTGTAGTGAAGCGATTCAGAGAATCAAATGCCTGAGGAGAAAAATTGATGTGATCTTAAACTTTATTAATTATAAAAACACGGCAAGTTTTTAATTATAAAGATTTACCATCAGCCCATTCATAAACTTTACATAATCTTTTTTCAATTACCCTACTATATTGGTTACAATGTAGTACAATACTTTTTATGAGGACATGCAAAAAAATTCTTTCGTTCTTCACTTTTTGTTCAGTCTAGCTTTAACATTTCCCATATTAAAGCATGATTTAATAAAGCATTTTAAAATTTAATTTAATTATTTATTTTTAAATGTTACTTTATTTTATTTCAATGTTTGAGTTTACCATAATTTACTTATGCTGTCTATTTAAATTATAGGTAAATGAATTACAATAGTTTAGTTTAGTTTAGCTTTGTTTTGTTTAGCTTTGTTTAGTTTCGTTTAGCTTCGTTTAGTTGCGTTTAGTTTCGTTTAAGGTTTGAGTAATACTACCAGAATTCACTTAAGTGGTCTATTAAAATTATATGTATATGAATTCCAACATTTTTGTTCAGTGTCATTTAGTTTTGTTTGTTTTCGTTTAAGGTTTGAGTAATACTACCAGAATTCTTCCAAACATGTTTTGTTTTCTTGGTTTATGTTGTCTATTAAAATGATAGCTGTATGAATTCCAGACGGGATCTCCTTTAATGGTCTTCCAGTGTCTTATGGCCCTGTTAACTTTAGCCTGAGGTGGGAAAATGTTAGCAAACATTCAGCAGAAACCTTTTTTAATTTTAATGATAAAAATCTCAACTGGCCTATATGAGAATGACAGGCCACATAGCTGGAAAAGTGACGTGTGACAGAAGAGTGGCAGTGGTAGTACTCAGAGACAGCGAGACATAATAGCACCCCTGAGAGAGAGAGAGAGAGAGAGAGAGAGAGTTATGGGCTGCCGACTCCACAGAGGCAGGTTGCTGTGTTAGGGCTGCATAAAACTCACTCATGTGTGTTACTGGTCTCCAGTGTCACGCTGTTACTCAAACCAACTCACCCACAATGCCATTTATAGAGCTATCAAAGACACAGCAATGGGCAAACACACACTTGGACATTGATTTATGATACTCGCATCCAAACAGCTTTAAAAAGTGTATCCTTCATGCTTTTATCAATTTATCCAATACTACTGATGGTTTGGATGACAGATATTGTTTTCATGTTCTTATTTCAATCTATTATGCGCGTCTGTTTACTGGTTTATTTGTCTGGTGGATGTGTTTGAAAACTGGAATATCAAACTACTCATTTAATAAACATTCTTCAGTAGCGGCAGAGAGGAAATCAAGGAAAATCATCTCCGGATAAACAAACACTGTTGCAAATACCTGAGCCGTGCCGGCTTTGGTTACGCAGAGAGACGGAGAATGATGGTTTTGCCCAGATCCTTGTGCTTGAATGCCTGTGTTTGTGTGCCTTGTAATGACCGTGTGTGTTTGTGTCTCTCTAGATGTGGACGAATGTATGGACAACAACGGCGGCTGTCAGCAAATCTGCGTCAACACTATGGGCAGTTATGAGTGCCAGTGCAAAAACGGGTTCTTCCTGAGTGACAACCAGCACACCTGCATCCACCGCTCGGATGGTGAGTCTCATCCTGCTAATACTGCGCACTGTCCTGGCCAGCTGTGACCCAAACAAACCAGACATTTCGTTTTTTAGCTTGTGTTTGAAGTTTTATTGTTGCTTCACCTGCAGTCAAATCTCATTGGTCTAAAATAAATGTGTGCCAAAAAACTGTTCAAGTACTGAATAAAATATAAAATGTTAGGGAATAAAAAAACGATTAAATGACTTATTTACTAATTAGTTTATTAATATTATATTATATCATTTTATATTATATTATATATAAAGGAGCTGCAAGTTAAGACATCAATAGATAAAAAATATATAACTTGATATTAACTTTTAGGACTTTTTGATTTAAAAGAAAAAGAGAAAAAACACAATAAAGTTAAAACCTCCAGTAACTTATGTTTGGTCACTAAATTAAGATATTAAAGGAGAACTCCGGCGCAAAATGAACCTTTGGTCTAATAAAACATTGGTACCTAGTCAACCGTTCTCTGAGATTTGTTTTCATGATAATCGAAAGTAAAGAGTTTTATCTCTAAAAACTGTTTAGCGTATAATGCTAATTATGGGGACATCTATTAAGTAAAAATAAATCGCTAGTTTATACCACTAACAAGACTCAAAATAGCCCCACACAAACACAGTAACATAATGAGGGTCCCTACATGCAAAACGAAGCATTGAGAACTTTGTAAGTGTACAGACCGTTTAATAAGAAGATAAAGATAAAGACAGTCCACTTCGTGTATACAGACAGGAGCCATCTTTGGAAAACAGTCTCGACTAATCAAACCACGAACGACGTGCTAAGTGAGCTGAACTGTATAAATGGCGTTCGTGGTTTGATTAGTCGAGACTTTTTTCCAAAGATGGCTCCTGTCTGTATACACGAAGTGGACTGTCTTCATAAAATATCTTCTTATTAAACGGTCTGTACACTTACAAAGTTCTCAATGCTTCGTTTTGCATGTAGGGACCCTCATTATGTTACTGTGTTAGTGTGGGGCTATTTTGAGTCTTGTTAGTGGTATAAACGAGCGATTTATTTTTTCTTATTAAATGCCCCCATTACTAGCGTTATACGCTAAACAGTTTTTAGAGATAAAACTCTTTACATTCGATCATCATGAAAACAAATCTCAGAGAACGGTTGACTAGGTACCAATGTTTTATTAGACCAAAGGTTCATTTTGCGCCGGAGTTCTCCTTTAAATCATTTTGTGTTTTATTTTATACACTTTTAAGCTGCAAAATGTATAAATGCATAAAATAGCTTTTCCTAGGTATATCATTATATCACATGCATTTTGAGTTGTGTACTTTATTAAAACTGATCCAGTCCCATGCTAAAAGTTGTGATTTACGTCTGTCATTTTGTCACTTTTGCTGTTATTGATGACAGACGAATAATTCTCCGCTGGAAGCTTGTTGTGTCCTGTTAGGCCGTTTTCTTATTCTGATTATGTGTCCATGTGTACTCTGTCTTTCCCACTGTGGGTTCAGAACAGCCAATTCATCAGCATCTCACTTCTGACAGTCTTGACCCTGGACAGAGCTGAGGGTCAGAGGTGGAAGTTGAAGGCTTGAACGCGCAGGCGGCCAGCGGGCATGTCTTTGTGTGTGGATGGTGCGCATGCATGCAGTTTAAATGCATGGTAAAGTCAGTCATGACGTGTGTGTGTGTAGATCATGCGACCCTCTTGTGCTTTCTCATTCCGCCTGTCAGAATTAACTAATGATGCTTCTCCATGTCGAGGCGGACACATTCCCACACACTACGTAAATCTGAGCAATTTGCACACAAAGTCATGAATGAGAGTGGGTTGCTTCGTAATCGCATCTTTGATGTCCCTCACAATCATGTGTGGAATGTGGAGAGGAGTGTACGGCCCCCTCCTTTTCATCCTCTCCTACTTTTTTAGGCTATGTTTGCAGTCTTTTCATAGGCTCTCTAATCTTTAGGATGTGTTCATATGAATGTGTGTGTGTGTATGTACGCAGTGTATATATAAATGAGTATGTACTGAGTAGTATGTCAATATAAATGGACTGTTATAATGGATAACTGTTTTAAAAAGTGATTTTTCACTATTATTTACAACAGGATTTGCATTTTCATGGGTTTAAATAAAAATTTTGTTATAAGAGACAATAAAAACAACTTTGTATAAAATTGTTCTTCACTTGCTGAAATTGAATCGGAATGATAAGGGAACTAAGTGAAATACTTCACACTGCATGCTAAAGAGAATAAACGGCAATCCCAAAATTAATTTCAAGAATTTTCTAGTCTTGACTGATCTTTTTTCATAATTGCTAATTTTCCCTATTTTTTACATTTCACTGGGAGAAGATCAGAGGAAAATGATAGAGCCAGTCAGGAGCTGGACAGAAAAATATAGAATTTGAGAGGAGGGGTACAGAAATGCGCCATATTTGCTTTTGGTGAATCTCTGCTCCTGCATGTAGTATTTTTACTTCAAAAGCAAAACTTCAGTAAATACTCTAGTAGTGTATGTTTTTATGTGAGTGAGTGTGTGGTGCATTTGTGTACTTGTCTGTAAACAATCTAAATAGTTGTTTTTGTGGATAGCTAACTGATGTGCTGTGGCAGTCCTGGATGGCTCCGCACGCTACACACACACACACACACACACACACACACACACACACTGCTCTATACCCACTGTAAACAGAAAGATGAATCGGATATTTGCCACTGGAAAGACTGGGTATCTTTTTCAATTATGAATTTTATGAGGAATACTGTTCTGCTCAAAGTCGTCAGTAAACTTTAAGAATTTTTTATTTAGGGTTTTATTTTACTTCCTTTATAGTTTATTTATTTATATTGTTTATTTAGTACTATTTAAATTAAGCTATCTGACATACAGATATTTACAAACTTTACATAAGACAAAATAATCCTACAGTAGTAAAACAAAACACAATTACAAAAGGCTGTAAACAGTAAGGCTAAAGTAAAATCAGATAGTTTACCAGATCAAGAAAATATGCAGAAAGTAGCTGGGTTTCCACCCACATATTTTCACATAAAAGTGCTGAATGGATATGGCAAGATGATAATAATAATAATTTAAAAATAATAATAATAATAATACATTTTATCTTTTGCTTATCATTTTTATTTTTTAATATCTGGTAATATTTACTATTATATTTACTATTTTTATTATTTATTATTAAATTATTATACATTTATTATTTTTAATTATTTTTTTAATTATATAAAAATGATACAATTAATTTTAATTAAGGAAGAAATTTACTTGGAATTTCAATTGGAGCCATTAATGGTGCAGAAATGACACGCTGTACCTTTAAGCCCGCGTACAGTTTTCCTCATCCGCCTTAGTCTCACAGTCAGACACACTGATTACAAACAGGCAAGCTTTCACACGTTTAATCTCACCCTAAATGAACCTCTCACCTTCCTTCATCACCCTCACTCATCAATAGTGTGTGTTTGGGTATCTGTGTGTGTGAATGTGTGTATGTTTCTTGTTTACAGTTAGTCTGTCACCAGTATGGCCCATTGGCTCATGCCTAAGGCTTATGTATACGTGTGTGTGTGTGTGTGTGTGTGTGAGAGAGAGAGATGTGTGGTGTTGTGTGTTTACAATTCTTCACTCACCAGTGCGTCCTACTGGCCTGAGTCTAGCGCAGTGTTGCGCAGTGTGTGTGTGTGTGAGACATTGGCGCCGTCTGTCTGCTGTGGAAAACTAGCTCTATAAGAGGCCATGTTCCTTTGACTATAAGGCTTCTGTCAGGTCTATTGACCTGTGTGGGTCACTGTTACTGTAATGTCCATAACAGTTCATATAGTTAATGAAAGTTTTACGGCAGTTGTTAGGTCTATTTATGCATGAATAATCACATGCAATAAGCATCTGCATAAAATCTAAAAGCAATCAATATGTCTATCCATCTGTCTGTCCTACTGTCTGTTTGTCTATCTATCCCTCCATCTACCTATCTATCCTTGTCTATCCCTCCTTGTGTCTATCCATCCATCAGTCTGTCTATCTATCAGTCAGTCTGTCTGTCTGTCCATCTCTCTATCCTTCTGTCTATCCATCAGTCAATCTGTATCCGTCTGCCTGCCTGTATCCATCCATGCCTCAATCTGTCTATCCATCTTTGTGTCTATCCATCCATCAATCTGTCTACCTGCCAGTGAATCTATTTATCTACCTGTCTGTCTACACGCCTCTTAGTCTGTCTATCCATATGCCTATCTCTCCATCCATCAATCTGTCTATCCCTCTGTCTGTCCATCCATCGGTCTGTCTGTCTCAGGGAGAGTCGAAATAGTAAGTACACACACAGAAGCAAACAATAAAGCCTGATGGCTATGAGTCGTCAGGGATGTGTTTCCATTATCGTTATTTTTTCTTCACTATTCTTTTTTTTATAGTTGTGTCTCAAACATTCCTGGGAAAGAGTGACTATTGTTTCTTTGGAACCCTGTTTAGTTTACACAGTTATAAACTGAGTTTCTGCTCCAGATGGCCCAGTGCCACTGATAGAGTCAGAGCAGCCTAACCTAGTGGATGTAAACCCTTCACTTTCTGTCATCTCTGTTCCCGCTCTGGAGGGAATCAGATTGTAGATTCTTTTTTTATTTATTGTTAACTTATTATTGCAGTATCAGTCCCCCTCATTTGCTTGCATTTCATTTTGTTTATTTTTATTTTTTTCTCTGGAACCGTTCCGTCCCCGTGTTCTTCTGGCCCGAGCTGTCCAGTTTGAAAATTGAAGCCTTGGCTCCTGATGGGATTTTAAATATGGCACAAAATGTCACCACATGTTGTGAAAATAATAACCTTGTAAATTCTTCTCAACCGCTGATATCCTGGCGATTGTTGGTGGGTTGTAAATTAGGACTTTACTTTTTTTTCTGCCCAGCCAACAGCCCGTCGGCTTCTCCGGACTCGGAAAGGTAGAAGTAACCAATGGGTTTGGCAGTGTAGTGTGAATGAATCA